AAGATTACTTACTTACTTACTTACTATAACATATGAGATGATTAAGGTTTGCCTTCCCAGGCTGTACGCTCAGTGACACACGTCAAAGCCTCCCTGGTCAGCACGGAGAGTTGCCTTAACGTGGGCCGGCTGGACCTAATATGAATTATATATATATATATAATTTATTAGGGCCGGGACTTTAACGCGTTAATTAAGATTGATCAATTACACAAAAATTAGTGCGTTAAAAAAGTTGCCACATTTTAATCGTATGCGTTTTTTGCACCGCGGAACGTTCCTCACAGGATGAATTTCCAGACGGAACGATTGTACTGGAGCGCCAACTGGAGCTCCGTGACTTATTTTGTTCAAAAGTACATTATTACAAGCACAGACCAACTTTAGCGGTGTCTAAGTCCGAGTGAGTTAGAGACGGGAATGAGCGCTGTGTATAAGGAGCGATGGACTCCGAGTGAGGAGGAGGAGCAGCGAGCGACCCCTGTGTGAGCGGAGGCAAAGGAGGAGGAGCGAGACACAGGTGTGAGCTGTTATTGCTGATGTTTAGTCCAAATGCACACACCAAAAACGTGTTATAAAAGCTTTAGCAAACAGCGCATGCCCTGCTTTAGTGCTCACTGCGAGTGCAGTGGATTTTGGGCGTAAAAAGCATATGTTGTTGTCAGAGTGTGTGGAGGCAATGACAGAAACGTTATTGGATGGGAAAGAAGTCAGTCTGATCCCCTTGTCCACAATGAACATGTGTTGCTAATGTATTCAGTCATTATTCAATGGTAAACAAAAAATCCATGTGAAAAAAATTACTTCTCACTGTTCTCAGGTCAAATATTTATATGCGATCAATTAATTAAAAGCCTCCAATTAATTAGATTTTTTTTTTAATTGTGTGCTTAGTTTCATGATATTCCATCCATCCATTTTCTTCCCCTTAATCCATTTCTGGGTTATGGGGGTGGCAGTCAAAGCTGCACTAAATTCAAATAGTACCAGCCCCATTATTTGATCACTTAAATCCATTCGAAATGGAACACTAAAAAGGTACTGTATGTTTTAAAATTCTTTTCAGTTCCAAATTTAAAAAAAAAACATGTTGACCAATAACAAATGTGACCTTTAGGAATATTTACCTCCACCATGTTTTTGAATTGTCGTCATAGGCTAAGGAGTTGACTTAATAATGAACATGAGAGGGGAGTCCTCTCCTGGTCAATGCACCATCTTAAAAGACATTGGCTGACCAAAGTTATGTACCTGAACAGGAATCCTATAAAAAAAAGAATCATAAAAAATCTAGAAACCAGTGTCAAAACAGTAACGTGTCAACATTGCAAACCGCACGCACCGAAAGTAAGAGTTAAAACAACAGTAGGCACATTGCAGTAGTTTGTACACAACAAACGCACATGAGCAAAATACGTAACTTTGTTCACACTGACAGTAATGAGAACGAGGCAGAATCTGCAACACAGGCCTCTGGATGTTCTGACCAGCTCCGACCGCAGTCCTATGTCCACAAGTTTCAACTAAACTTATTCAGGGAACAAGCCTCAAATAAAGCACACAGAATCCATTTATCCCTAGCGTGAGTGAATGTTCCGTTTTCTTACCTGGTGATGCGGGTGCAGAGCCATGGTTAAAGCGAATGAGCTTTTAGCCACTGTTCTGACGCGGCTTTGAATATGTCCTGGCTTCTCGGATCATTGTGGCTTTAAGCTCCCACAGATGTTATTCCTCCCTGCGTCTCTTCTCTTCACACAGTGTTTGTAAAACTATATATAATAATAATAATAATAATAATAGATCCAGAGTAAAACTTATTAGAGCCTCTGTATAGCGCGCGGGTGCAGCTTCACAACACGGTCTTGTTTACATGTCGCCACCATGCTACTGTGTCAAGTGACTAAGATGTATGGAGAAATCCGATCATTTAATAAATAAATGAATACAAAACATGATATACTGTATCTTGCCAAATGAGAAATTTGTCTTGTTAATCACTTTTTGCAGTGAGTGTCTGTTCGACACAGCAGTGGTAGTAACACGTTCGCTCCTGTTATAAATCTGAACAGCACACGAAGCAATAGTTTCCTTGGTGGCCCGGTGAATGACTGAGTTGGGGACAAAGTTCTGTCAAAGACTGCATATTGTCCATTGAAGGCTTCAGTAGTACCCCGACTGCAATATATGATCTCTATATTAACAAGATCATCCCACCCAACACCCACTGGCCAGCCGGCGGTCCGTTTCTTTCAGAGTTCAGCTTGTCGTTGCACATTTATTTTGGTCTTCAAACCCCACAAGCTGTCTACCATTTGAAAGCTTATTTCATCATCTACATTTTGTTGTCTGGTATACAAGTATACCAGACAACAAAACCAGACTTTACATGATATGAAGCATGATATGGGCACAAAAACAACGAATTCATGGCTTTTCTTACCTTTGGACTTGTGCTGTCTGTAATAATGAAGTAATCCATGATTGCTGAGGCTTATAAATTCCGTAAATGTCCATGGAAAAGCAACATCCACTTGTGATTTCCAAAATATAGTAAATCATGAATTATGCCTTTGTTAGGGTTTTTATGAACTTAATATTTTAGGCGAGGCTAAATAAATAGCTTTTTTCAGAAACGTCAAAGGATGCAAAGTGAAATAGGAATGACATATATTATTCTAGTGTATATTTACATACTAGAAGGCTCTTGTGTTACAGAATTTAAATATGCAAAGACATATGGATAAGCCCAAACGGGCTACTTATAACAATAGTTTTATTATGATTATTATTATATACATAAATACTTGAATTCCTTTCCCTTGGTAAGGTCTGAAACCCACCTACTGGCACCTGGACGCACAGAGAGATGTATAACTTGTGAGAGAGCACACCTTGTGAAAAAAGAGCAGCAATGGCACTGGAAAAAGGATAGACTACAAGCAATGCAAACACAGCTCAGGGTCCGGTCACCGGGGCGGACCACAGCGGACTCCGTACTTGGAGATGCTCAAGGTTCAATCTTGACCTTTCAATATTGATAAGTTCATGCTTGTCTTCTGGTTGCAGGAAAGCTTTAACTTGTCATCAAAGACATTTTTCTCCACAACCACAGTCCACTCTGGAGCTTTGCAGTGGATAGAAAGCCCAGCAGAGGATGTTCTTCCTGCGGCAGCTCAGGAAAGCCAAGCTGCCTGCACAGATGTTGGTGCAGTTCTACATGGCCATCATCGAGTCCATCCTCACCTCCTCCATCACCGTGTGGTTCGCTGGAGCCACAGTCAGGGACAAACAGAGACTACAGCGCAGGACCCGACCCCTCTCACCTGCACATGGACTATTCCAACCACTCCCCTCAGGCAGGAGACTGCGGTCCATCAGGACTAGAACCTCCCGCCAAGAGAACAGTTTCTTCCCCTCTGCTGTTGGACTCTTGAACACTTCTTAACCCTATGAACCCGTCTGCATCGGCGCCGATGCATGCGCACATGTTTTACAAATGATGAGCAACTCACTTTCACTTGGTAGAGCATTGGCCTTCAGGCCAGAAGGTTGTGGGTTCAATTCCCACCTCTGCACCTTCTCCATCGACTCCCACTGATGACTGCTGTCGTTGTGTCCTTGGGCAAGACACTTAACCCCACTTTGCCCAAAGCCCCCGCTGAGAGATCAAGGCTATGCTCACACTCAGAGAGCAGCCGTCCTCCTGTGGACTCACCACCTGCAGAGGGTCAGTGAGGGGCTGGTGCTATGAGACTTGGGTGGCATCTCTGACTGCCACCCCCCTGACCCAGAAATGGATTAAAGGGTAGACAATGGATGGATGGAACTCACTTTTTTTCCCTCTGTGAAGTACATATTTAGGGCTTTCCGAAACTAGTTTTGATTTGTCTGTGCGATGCACGGAAGATAAACTACGCTTGTCTGAAAGTCCGTGTCCAAAGCGTGACCCGTGAGGTACAAACAGCTGTGAGATACAAACACACGGGGACTGCCAAAGATCGTCAGAGAGTGAGATGTCTCACTCCTCTGTGTGTACTTGTTCTCCCACAGTTGAAACTACAGCTGCGATTGCAATAACCGGCTGAAGAGTGCGCATTATTGATAAAGACGATAATAAATACAGTAAAATGACATTATGTGTTTATGATGTATATAAATATATGTATTATATAAATAATTGATTTTTTTTTTTTTGTCTAAGTTTCTTATGTTTTACGTTTTTTACAGCTGTGCTACAGAAGCAACCCCAGCATAATAGACAAACTGCTTCAGGAAGGGCATCAGGAGTACAGAGTTTTTTGCTTTTATAGTGGAATTTTGTAAAAAGTATAATAGTTAGAGATTCATTTTTTTTCCCCATTATCCCCAAGACCATAAATAACATTTCTATGCAGTGTAAGTTTTTTACAGCCCCTCAGCTTTACAATATGAATATTCTAAAACCCCAGGTTGTACTGAAAAAAACAAAGCATACTGCTTGACTCTGCATCAAAAGATGACTGTTTTATGAACGATTATACACAAAGAAAACCAGGCGAGGAAAGTTCCCCAAAATGACCCATGTGCATAGAGGGTTAACCTGTCCCCCCGCCCTTTATAAAGTCACTTTACTTCACTGTACTACTGTCACCTTACATTGTGTGCACCATGTGCACTTATTGTAAATAGTAACTAACTATTTTGAATTTAAATGTATTCCTTAGAAGTGTTTTTTATCCTTTATTTTTATTATCTCTTTCTGACTGTTGCACTGAGCCAAAGCAATTTCCAAGTCTGTGACTTCCTGTTAGTTACGTGGCAATAAAAATGATTCTGACTCTGATATAGGCGATCAAAAGTTCTTCCTACACCTTCAATTCTAAATTGCAGGTTCATATAGCCGAAAAAGGAAGACATTATTTCCATACATTTCCAACTAAATATTTCTAGACCAATTTGTATTTCACAAACGTTTTAAAACTATCTAAGGGTTACTCACATAGACTGTACTCAATACTTACATTGGCCGCCCCACCAGGCTGGTCTGTACGTGCTGCTGGAACTCCGGGTACTTCGAGGCTAAGTAGGCGAAGTCAGGGGGCTTGTCTTTGTAACGGTTCCGTGGATGCATTGACTTGTTAAGAGACATGACTGAAACACATATTACATACGTATACGTAGTTGAACATAATCAGTTTTCATTGAGGAATGTACACAACTAATGCCGTGGTCTCACATGTAGAAGCTAGACGAAGCTAACGTGTTTCTCCACTGCGTCTTACCTTTAAAGACTCCAAATATAAACCAAAATGTACAGTTCCACAGTAAGTAGCGTTACTTCACGGTTGCATGGGAAGTATTGACCAGCCTTTCAGTGTTGCTTGTCAATAAATATAACCCACGTTGTGCACACGTACAAAACAAACTTTCACAATTTCCTGTTTCCTCCCTACGTCACATCTGACGTTACGTGAATCACCACGTGACGGCTAAACCAAAGCGCACTACTTCAGTGTAGTTTTGTGAGCGCACCGAGTGCAATAACCACAACTAAATGGTTGAATTTTTCTTTATAGTAATCCACTTACCTGTCATGGAAATATTGAATTGATTTGTCCAAAATGTTTCAGTGTTAAAACCAACCTCCCATGGTTCAAATACATAGTTCCCACAGACCAATGAATGTCACATGACCTCCTCGGAGACGCCATCTTTGATGGCACGCTGCTGTGTTTGTGCATTCCATTAAACAGAAGAATGAGAATAAATGTAGATATTCAAACGCAAATTGGAAAAAAAGGCCAACTTTTGAGCAAATAATTGTATATTAATACAATGGCACCACAGTTTAACGTGCTACGGACATGTTTTACATATTTGATCAAATTATGCAGCAAAAATTAACAAGCAATGCAAACATTTCTCAAAAACTTTAGATTTAATACCAGTTGGAGCTCCATTTAATTATTTTAATTATATTAACAATTCATTTAATTAATGCTAATGCCACACGGACACTCTGGATTGCTGTTATTGTTTATTTCCGCGTTTTTGACCGTGTGTTTTGGTGAATGGTGGGCAACTGATTTTTCCAGGCGTAAAGAGCAGTTTATTTTATGACACAGATCTTTTTACAGAAGCAATGCTGTTTGTGAACATTGTTTTAGCCCACCATAGAACTATTATTATCTATTTAATACATTTACGTTGCCCTCGAGAGCCTCGGACGCGACACCGATCCTCCTCATAATAAAGTAATCTAACGCTAAATAATGAAACTCTCAAGTTACCAGCTATCAGCATACACAAGTTAGTACTGAGTAAATTACGTCTGTCAACACATTATAAGATACGATACGCACCTGACACAAAGTGCTCCGAGCATATTCTTGCGTGTTTTGAGGGAGTTTCTTGCCTGTTTATCATCGCAAGCCATAACCTCCGTGGTTGTTCTGACAAAAGCTTAGTCTTCTCACATTCATGAAGTCTAATGATGGGTATACTGTAAAATCCAAGTTTACCGGAACCTCCGGCACGATTTGAACATCCATTGACCCAGCAGGAGATGACCATTTTCAACTTTATCACGACATTAACACGTTTCAGCTTCTTTTTCTATTGTTTTGCCCACAGAATGCCAACACAAATGTCGCCGGGTCGGCAAATCCCCGTATGTAGTGACGTCATGTGGGAACTATGTATAGCTAATTGTTCCAGGCAAAACATCTGCGTGCATAACAGAAAGTGAAGTAGAACTATGCTAAACTACACTATGGCCCATGGGAGCATTTATTATCAATTTAATAACTAGACATGAGGGTTTAAAATAACCCTAATTAAATAATACAACACAAAAACTGAAAAAGACCACAATTCAAAATGACTGCTTTTATTTTATTGCAAATACTTGACAAACAGAATAAAGCCTATTGTGACCGTTAAGCTGAAGAGAGGAACTGGAGGCAAAGGCAATCTTCCCAAGAGCTTGTTTGATCTTGGGTCCCTCAGAATAAAAGGTGCAATGATGTGGAAAATTTGGAAGCCAATAATAGATTCGTTGATTGTCTCCTGTGTATGGCTTTATGCATACAACTGCCACTTGGACCTTAACCAAAATTACATTGCATTAGTTGCAATTCAGGGATACGAGCGTCAGAATTTGGGTCCTTGTTTCCTGGTGCTGCAGACATCTCTTTGGTGACAAACTTCTCACTGTGGCTCACAGATTGAGAGCCACAAACTGGGGATAAATAAAGGATTGAAATAAGTGCATTTACCTGCAAGATAAAGCTATCATATATAACTGGTGTAATTTTATCTTCAACCTTATAAAATCAAATTATCAACTGCCTTATTTGAGCGAATGGTGCACTTTCCCTCTGACCCATATGATGTGTGTTACTTTTTAGATCCACTTCACCAGGAAGTCTCAAGAAAAATAAAGCTGAGCCTTGGCCATAGCTTAAAAGTTCCCCATAGATGGTTATTCACTTTGAATACTTCTATTCCATACTGTTAAACTAATTTCCAACGTTTTCCTTCATGGATGGTCACGTTTTTGTTGACTTTGTCAAACATTCCAGGCCTATTTTACAGCAAGGATGCCTTTATGGTCATGATCCATCTAAACTCCGGAGGACAAACCCTGTTAGGTTTTAGCAGCATGCCACCAGGACACAGTATTAAAACTGCAAAAAAAGAGAAGGGGGATCCTAGCATTCTACGCGCACATCCAAATCAAAGTTACAGGTTCATAGCCAAACAGCTTCCATATAGCCTATAAGCCAAAAAATAAATAATTTTTTACAGAAAACTTGTATATACAAGTTAAAATTTTAACCTTCATATTGGACCTTTAATTGCTACCAATCTCCAGGAATAGTAGTAATTTTAAATTAAATAAACATGTTTTTGGTTCAAACTCTGAAGAACAGAACAGACCAAGTTAGACATTTAACACTTGTGGATCATTAGAAATGGAATTGCACATTGAGTGCCATTGCTTTGATTTCTCAAGCTTTAGGCAGGGGAAATCAAGATTCACCTGGCCAAAATGTTAAGATTTGCCCCTTCAGATAATGACATCTCTTGTGCGGCAAAGCTACAGCTCACATTAGATGTGTCACATTTCAAAGTAAAGCCGGTTTGCATTTCTGTGGTCAAACACCCCACACTAATATCAAATAAAAGTATATCAAGTGTCTGAAGAGGAACCATGGTAACATTTAAGAACTGAAGCCCATTACCACTTTGCTGTATTCTGCTAGGCACCAACTGGTTTTGGGAAGTAAAAAGTTGCAGAGTTCCAAAAAAACAAAAAATATGAAGATATAGTAAAATCTTGACTTATAGATTTAGTACTCTAAATGTTAGGCCTTCTAAAACCTCACCTTCATTTTGTTTGTGTAACAGGAAGGGCAGAAAACATGTTTCTCTACACAACTGTTATTAAAGTAGTTTTATACCATTTGGGCTTACCATGCAAGAATACCTTGTTTAACATTTAATAGCGCCTCTACATCCAGAAATATTTTACACAGAAAGACCAAAGTTACTGGACCAGAGAGAACGATGGATAAATAACCATAGTGGCTAAGTGCAGCTGCAGAAAAGTGCAGGAGTTTGGGTACATGGACAAATAGGATGAAGTTCATCAGTATCCAGAGTAGTCAGCAGAAGAGTGTTTCAAGGTCCACATCAACGACACTCCCACACTTTTACAGTTTGATCTACGCTGCCAGTGGCAACATACGGTGCAGCTTTGTGGAAATCTGTTGAATATTACAATAGGAAAAAAAAATACTATTAAGACATGTTTTGTCAGTTTCATATCAAGTTTGACATCAACAGGACCCATGCTTACCCATAGAGGTAACAAAGTGTTCATGAGCCCCCAAGGTTTTCGTGCACCGCTTGTTCTTGTAGTCCCAAATCCTTAAAGTTTTGTCATCTGCACAACTAACAACAAACTTCCCACCAGGATGGAAAAGGACACCACGTACCCAATTGTCATGGCCAACCTTGAAAAGACCATACAACTAATAAAAAGGTTCTCATATATACACAATACACATTTTAAAATAATTCATTTCCAGTCCTTACCAGAGTCATAAGGCACATGCTGGTGCTTATATCCCACATCTTAATAGTTTTATCTCTGGAGCCAGACAATAGGAAAGGACCTGGCTTGCCACTTTTTTTATTCTAAAAAGACAACACATTAAAACATTTTAAAAAGAGGACACACATTTCAATAAGCCGTTATGAATAAACCAGTGTAAAACTGAAGAATTTGTGTGGATCACAAGGCATGGGGAGGGTGGCGACTTCAGGCTATGGTGATGTCCTAGTTAATTCTGCAAGCCCTTTAACTATTCAGCTGTGCCATGGCTTGATTTTCTTAAGCATTATACCAGAAGTCACAGCTGCCCTTGAGATAGACTGCCAATCTTTTTGAGCACTACCAGTCATTCATGCACCCACCAGATTCATACTAGTAAATCTGGGTGGAGTGTCATGTCAAAGGACACAACAAGGAGGTTACGTTGTCATCCAAGTTTGTTATTCAGTAACTAGACAGTTTTGCATTAAACTAGGGATGTACCGAATCCAGGATTCGGCCGAATATTGGCTTTTTTGACGGGGTTTGGTTTCTGGCCGAATCTTAGAACTTTTCCCCACCGAACCCGAACCCTGCACTTACACTATGCGCGCTGTGGCTGTGGATTCATCACGGAAATCAGATTCGTTCGGAAGTGTAAATAAACATGCACTGCGGTGGTTTATATCCTCTTGCTCTCTGTTCCTCTTCGGGTGCGCTGAGGTCTCTTCCTGGTCATGTGATCCCCGCGGACCAATTAGCTCTAGTTATACGCCGGAGCGAGGGGATGTTATGATTCTTGTTTTCACCTGTAATGCGGTTCTGATGGATCATAAACTAACTGCCTATTCACCAACTTTATGGAGCCGATTACCAGTGCCAGGTACTTGTCATCTGAGCTGCGTATGACCGTGGAAGCAGAGTTGGTGAGTCCATGTTTTGGCAACTAGCCTCTTAGCATTAGCTTCTCTCAACTTGTCTGACGAGTTTGGAAATGTCCATATATGTAATGTTTTGACCTGAACCAGTGGAAGCTATTTATGCATGTATGGTGCTTTAGCTCTTATTTTTACATGACATGCACAGTAATATATTTACTTTATCACTGAAGTTTTACACTGCTGTGAACTGAATGTATTTGTGTTTAATGATAAGGGGGATTATTATAAATGTTATAATAGATTCTGGTCGAGCTACATGTTTAATTTGCAATGCCGATACAGGAGATGCAGTTTTAATAGAAGCCTCACCACCAAATTTCAAATTTGAATATGAAACACGAGAAAATAAAAGGGGGGGGGGGCATAGCAGCAGTTTTTAAAGATCGTATTGTCTCCCATAGGGTGTCTCTTGGGAAATTTTCATCATTTGAGTATGTTTCTTTTAAAATAGAACAAAAGAAATCTTCTTCCATTCTTATTATTGTTGTGTACAAGCCGCCACAGTCATGCCATAGTTTCACTGATCATTTCACTGAGTTGCTTTCAGTTGTGTGCACAGATTTTGATGGTTTAGTCATTATAGGCGATTTTAATATTCATGTGGATAATGTTAATGACAGATACGCAAAAGAGCTGAGTTCCATACTTGAATCCTTTGGCCTCACTCAGCATGTGAGTGGCCCCACCCATAGCAGAGGACACACCTTGGACCTGCTTATCACGAAAGGGGTGAATATTTCAAAAGTTAATGTAGTTGATGTTGCTCTGTCGGATCATTTCTGTGTATTTTTTAACATGTGTTTTGCTACCAGACCACCCGCTAAATATGAAATTGTTAGAAGTAGACACTTAAATGAAAACACGGGTGAACTATTTATGGGAATGATCCATTTTGAGAACACATCATGTTCTACTGTAGATGAACTGCTTAACTCTGTCACCTCTAGTGTGTTGAATGTTCTGGACGCCATTGCCCCTGTGAAGGTAAAAATGGTCACAAATAAGCAAAAAGCCCCATGGATAAAAGCAGGCCCGGTCAGGGCACAGAAGCAAGAGTGCCGGAGAGCAGAGAGAAAGTGGAGAAAGTCCAACCTCCAGGGTGATTATAGACTCTTAAAAGAGAAGTTGTGTGAGTTTAACAGAGTACTACGTAGAACAAGAGAATTATACTTTTCTGAAACTATTGAAGGCTGCAGCAATAATCTGCGTGTTCTATTTTCAACAATCAATAGATTAACGAACCCCCCTGTTGAGTTGCCATTAGAACACTACTCCAAATCCAGGTGTAATGAGTTTGCACAGTTCTTCAGAGACAAGGTTCAGGGTGTCAGAAATGCCATCACCTCTACAACACAAGTAACAATGCAACATCCAGTGAGGCTTTGTGAGCTAGCTCAATTTGCACCTGTCAATGATGAAACTGTTAAAAAGATAATCACAGGTCTTAGTTCCTCTACCTGCAGTCTGGATGTACTACCTCCTAGATTTCTGAAGTCTGTTATGTGTAGTCTATTACCCTCATTGACACAAATAGTAAACATGTCTTTTTTATCTGGAACATTTCCAATGGCCCTGAAAAAGGCAGTCATTAGGCCCCTCCTAAAAAAGAGCAGTTTGGATGCTGCGGTACTTGAAAATTACCGTCCCATCTCAAATCTGCCTTTCATGGGAAAAATTCTTGAAAAAGTTGCCTACCAACAACTTACTGAATTTTTAATATCTAATGACTCATTTGACATGTTTCAGTCTGGCTTTAGACCACACCACAGTACTGAGACCGCTCTAGTCAAGGTAACAAATGATATTCGGCTTAACACTGATGCAGGAAAAGTCTCTGTTTTAGTCATGTTAGATCTGAGTGCCGCTTTCGACACCGTTGACCATGAGATTCTCATGCAGAGACTGGAGGACTGGGTTGGTGTTGCTGGTACCGCCCTAAGCTGGTTTAGGTCCTATCTAGAAGAAAGGAAGTACTGTGTGGAGATTGGAAACTATGTCTCAGATAATATGGCCCTGACCTGCGGAGTGCCACAGGGGTCGATTCTGGGACCTCTCCTGTTCAATATTTACATGCTGCCATTAGGTCAGTTAATTCAAAGTATGAAAGTGTCCTACCACAATTACGCTGATGACACTCAGATCTATGTCTCACTGACTGCAGGAGAGCATGGGCCGGTGGACTCACTCCTTCGCTGTATCCAGCGGATCAGTGAGTGGATGCAATGCAATTTTCTCCAGCTAAATGCGGACAAAACCGAAATGATTGTCTTTGGTCCCGAGAAACAAAGAGAGACCGTCATTTGTCACCTTCAGTCTCTCTCCCTAAGGCCCTTAAATAAGGTCAGAAATCTGGGAGTAATAATGGACTCTGACTTAAACTTCAATAGCCACATTGGATCGGTAACATCAGCAGCTTTTTATCATCTGAAAAATATTGCCAAAATTAAAAATATTGTGTCCAGGGCAGACTTGGAGATTCTTATCCATTCTTTTGTTTCCAGTAGGCTGGATTACTGCAATGGCCTGCTCACAGGTATCTCCAAACATGCAGTAAGACAGTTGCAGTATATTCAAAATGCTGCAGCCCGAGTCCTGACTAGAACCAGGAAGTACGACCACATTAGTCCGGTCCTCAGGTCTCTGCACTGGCTTCCCGTGGCCCAGAGGATAGACTTTAAAGCAGCTCTCCTGGTGTACAAGTCTCTCCATGGCCTTGCACCAAAGTACATCCATGATATGCTAGTCCCATATGAACCAGCCCGGACTCTGAGGAGCGCAGGGACGGGACTCCTGTTAGTGCCCAGAGTCAGGACTAGACAGGGGGAGGCTGCTTTTCAGATTTATGCAGCTGGAGTCTGGAACGGTCTTCCTGAGGATGTGAGACTGGCTGCCTCTCTGTCAATTCGCTGTATCCAGCGGATCAGTGAGTGGATGCAATGCAATTTTCTCCAGCAAATCCATGTTAAAGACTTTTCTTTTTTCCCGTGCATACAACTAGAGAATTTTATCTTTTTAACACACCTTGTTATTTATTGTTGTAACTTTTTGTGTTTTTAACTATTTTATTGTTTTTAATTACTTGTGTGATTTTTATGTTTTTAAATTACTTATGTGATTTTAATGCTTTTTAATTACATATCTGAAAAATATTGCCAAAATTAAAAATATTGTGTCCAGGGCAGACTTGGAGATTCTTATCCATTCTTTTGTTTCCAGTAGGCTGGATTACTGCAATGGCCTGCTCACAGGTATCTCCAAACATGCAGTAAGACAGTTGCAGTATATTCAAAATGCTGCAGCCCGAGTCCTGACTAGAACCAGGAAGTACGACCACATTAGTCCGGTCCTCAGGTCTCTGCACTGGCTTCCCGTGGCCCAGAGGATAGACTTTAAAGCAGCTCTCCTGGTGTACAAGTCTCTCCATGGCCTTGCACCAAAGTACATCCATGATATGCTAGTCCCATATGAACCAGCCCGGACTCTGAGGAGCGCAGGGACGGGACTCCTGTTAGTGCCCAGAGTCAGGACTAGACAGGGGGAGGCTGCTTTTCAGATTTATGCAGCTGGAGTCTGGAACGGTCTTCCTGAGGATGTGAGACTGGCTGCCTCTCTGTCAATGTTCAAATCCATGTTAAAGACTTTTCTTTTTTCCCGTGCATACAACTAGAGAATTTTATCTTTTTAACACACCTTGTTATTTATTGTTGTAACTTTTTGTGTTTTTAACTATTTTATTGTTTTTAATTACTTGTGTGATTTTTATGTTTTTAAATTACTTATGTGATTTTAATGCTTTTTAATTACATATGTGTTTTTAATTGTATTTTAATGGTGATGATTTGTGCATTGTGTGGTGTGGACTGTGAGGCGCTTTGTGTTGCCCTGTGCAGGAAAAGCGCCCTATAAATAAAGATTGATTGATTGATTGATTGATTGATTTGTCTCGTGGTGGTAAGGACCCTAAACAGTACACAACACCGCCGCAGTTAAAACATTTGCATATGAAACATTAATGGACTGAGGATGGAATAGGATTCGGTATTCGGGTTCGGATTCGGCAGAATCTTAACCAGTGGATTCGGTATTCGGCCGAACCCCAAAAACCTGGATTCGGTACATCCCTACATTAAACAGAAATAGAATCTCAGGAAAAGGGATGAGGAACATATGATTAAGAGTTTTTTAAAGAATAGAACTGTACATCTTGACAGAAGTCTGCTCTCGATGAGTACTTTTCTAGATCTGATGAGATCAAACATTACTGTATTAATTTCATAATAGTTGTACCTCTGACCCAGTAGCATCCTGGATACTGGGATAAGCGCTCTCTGGAGCCCATGAAATGCACTCCACTACATGCTCATGTTCCCGCAGCTCTGCTTTGCACTCTTTCGTGGCCACAACCCACACACGCACTGTCTGGTCGTTAGAGCAGCTGGCAATTAATGTGCCATCCTGATTTGGTCGCACCATACGGACCCACTCCCTGTGGCCAGTGAAGGTCTTTACCGAATAACTATGGGACAAATAAAAAACAAAGTTTAAAAAAATATGTGCTTTTGAACCCTTTTCTGTAAAGAAACATGATGTTTAGTACCCAGTGGCGACCTCCCACATTTTTATGGTTTTGTCCCTTGAAGCAGAGACAATGTGATCTCCATTTGGCATGATGGCAACTGAAGAAACATTATGATCGTGTCCTAGAAAACAACAAACATTACTGTGTGACAATTTTACTTTTTTGTTTTTACAAAAATGTTTACAAAATATTGTAGGAGGCTGTTGTATCCTGGCCCTCCAGTAATGCATCGTTTCCCAACCAGGCGTACACAAACCCCTAAGGGTAGAGCCATGGTATTACAAGGGTATTACAAGGGTTACATGTACTCATTTATTTAAATGTAAAAAGTAAAAGCAATAAATTGTTTAACAATAATGCCTTAAAAATAACCAGATAAAAGATGGGCTAAAATGAACTACACACTTTTGAGTTTATCTCCTGGGGTATGAGACAGCCTTAACAGGGGGTTTGTGCCTTGCCTATACGGGCTTGCACGCACTATAAAACATTCACTGAAGTGGGAATCCAATGTCCTGAAACTTCCCCATCTTTGTTTCAAATAGTGAATACATTTAGGTTGATCACATTCAACACATCTTCATACCATGCATGGTCCGTATGCACTCAAAAACTTGGAAATCCCACAGCTTGATGGTCATATCAGCAGAGCAGGAGGCGAGCAGCTTGCCAGTTTGGTCAAAAGAGATGTCTTGTACAGAGTCTGTATGACCCTTCAATGTGCGCTCAAAGTCCCCGGCCTCATAGTCCCAAACCTGGGTGAGAAATGATCAGATATGGAAATTAAGGCGGGTAGTACATAACCAGCTCCAGGCTTTGTATGAACTACTACAGAGCCCTAAAATACATTACACTGTCCTCGATTTTAAAAGTAAAGACTATCAAGCATTCAATAAACTGATTTGATATTTTTTCCTCAATTAGCCATATCAACCATCAGTCCCCCAAACCTCACTTATCCTACTAATGCAAAACATGAAAACATGCCAGCGTCACTCACTTTTATGGTGGCGTCCTCAGAGGCAGACACCATGACGCTGAACACTGGATGGAAAATGACTCGAGTGACAGGACTCCGGTGCCCACTTAGAGTGTACTTCTCTGGAGGTCGGGGAATCCACTCTTTGGGGTCGCGCTTCTGAGTGACTGGTCCGCCAAAGTGGATGTCATCTTTCACATCGTTCAACTTTGATTCAAGTTCCATTACCTGTTCATATACAAAAACGTTTAGTCAAAAAGTACGAACTGTTTAAAGAACCACAATAAGACAGACCGACCTTCTTCTGCAACCTGATGACAGAGGTCCATTTTTTCTCCAGAAGACCTGCATACTTTTTATCCAAATCTTCATTCTGTCAATTGAAAAAGTGAGGAAACACATACACATTGGCTACAAAGTGACTCAGCCATCACAGTTTGTCATTTCGTAAAGTGGGGAGTATTGGCAGAGAAAGGTGTGTCAAAAAACCTTGCAATATGCCTTTGGAGTTGAATTAATTTGGAGATCGCAGAACATGTGGTGGATGAAGAAGATGGAGCCAGAGAGGCTATGCCTCAGGGATACAGAGGCTTTATAATCATAATCATGAAAAATAAGTTAAGAAATCATGTTTGATATTGAAATTTGATTCAAGGGTTTTACGCTGCAGAATAAGGTTAATATTTAGATCTAGGTTTTTATCAAAAACAAACGCAAAAAAGAGGGGAAAAGATTGGAAAAGGTTGAGAAGCTAATGCGCTCAGACTCTGCAGTTCCAATTCCTAAGGACTGTTCTTTTTTTTTAATAGCTGCTTTACATCTTGCAATACCAGATGAAAAAAATAAATGCTGAATTCAAAAGTAGTGACCACGAGAATAATTTTTTACTTTAATCCATGCTGCTTTACAGGAGGAAGCACGCTGATGTGTAAATGTGTTTAAAGTGACCTTTAATAAACAACCGGCTTACATAGTAGCAACACACATGCATTTATGTATCTTGCCAATGTACTGATCATCCCACAAAACAAACAGTCAACCAAAGAAATATGGCTACCTAGATCCCCATGACTTCTCCCCGGACGCTGCTGTCTGCCATATTTAAAAGTACCTAGCATACCATCAGATCTCACGTCGCAAACGCATTATACAATTAATCGGGTATACAATCGGGTAAACAATGTAATTGAGCGATATAGATTTAAAACATAAAAGCCTGGTAGCCTGATTATGTCATCCTCACGATTCTGGTCTGAATGCAAGTTTGAAACTGATCCATCGGGCTGTGATTATGGGGCATGACATGTTCCAACCAAACCAGGAAAAAACAATTCCTCTTCACTCTATTGGATAGTTCAACGATCAACCAGAGCCACACCCATTCCCACACTCCTCATTTCATTGTAATCTACCAATGATTAAACCATCTTAGGTAGACGAGTCAATATGGTAGCCTAGTGTGTATTCTGGAAGCCAGTACAAATCTCAGTCAGGCTTGGTGTTGAACAGTGTCCCTCTAAGCTGCGCACAAGTACAACTGCGCTAATAGGGTCTTGGTGCACACAAAATTGTCCTGGGCACAAAATAAGAATCCAGGCTGATAGATTTGATTCACAGATGTAATTATGACTAGTCAACGTTATTGACAGCCAGCCAAACTATGCAGCTGAGTATTTCTCCAATGTATGAACCATTATGTCGCTGCTTATGTTGCTCATCTGTCCATCATTGTATAGAGCCCACCCTGACTATTTGCTTGGTCTGATCAGAATTTTGCACTCAAAACTGAGGTAGGCGGGGCTGAAGTTCAGCTGTACCCAGGCTATCAAAGTGAGGCACAGATTTTATAATTTCCAACCATAAAACTTACTGATTGTCAAAATCCTTAATTCATATAGGATGACTGATAGCTAATCATAACCTTGGTTGCAAAACTTGGGTGTTATCAACTCACCACGTCTAATTCAGCTTCTTTTTTGAAATTGGAATATGCTTCTTCATATCCATTGGAACGAAGATAATCGGATATTGCACGATTTCTGAAACAGAAAATATTGATTAATTGAAAAATATTGTAGATCTGAAAAAAAAGGAGAGCATGTCTATGCATGAGACAAATGCTAATGTATGTTTCATCACAATCTTCTACTAAGTTACAAGATATGCAAAAGCAGCAACTCCATCTCTCTTATAGTGATGGTAACAAACATTCTAAATTAACAAAACCTAAACTCGTTCTAAAGTAATATTTATGACATAAACCTTAAAATTAATGTAAATTAAACTAATGTTTTTATTAATTTACAACAAACAATATGCTACATGCAAAATAGCATACTAAGGGTGCTTTCACACCTGCACCATTTAGTCCACTTAAAACGGACTGGAGTCTGGATCACCTGCAAGTACGGTTCGTTTGAGCAGGTGTGAAAGTGGACCAGTTAAATTTGGTCCGGACTAAAGAACCGTACCGAGACCACCTTAGGGAGCTGGTCTCGGTACGGTTCCATGCGGACTCCAGTCTGGTTCGCTGCTGGTGAGAACGCAGACCTGCCTCAATATGGCCCTGCTCTGTTGTGTAGCTCACTTTTTAACACACATTGTTTTTTTATATGATAGAATAGTCAAAAAAAAACCGCAGAGTGTTCTCGTGCTGATCTCTGTGATACAAACTGGAACAACAGTATTTGTGCTGCACAAAGCAACGATGATAAAAAAAAAATAGCCACAAACTAGAGTAACGAAGTTCATTGTTAAAGATCTGACAAGTTTGTTTTCTTCTGGTATTTTTCCCTCTTCACATCCTGCACCAATCCGGTTTCACATACATCATCCAATACACAGTATTTTGTGAACAGCGCCACCACATGGGTGGCAGAATATGCAACATCCACAGTGGTTGGTTCATTTGCAAAAACACTGGTGTGAATGAGAACCAAACTAGTTAAGAACTGCAACATTGTAACAACTTTAGGGTCCAAGTGAACCACTTTACTGGACCAACAGGTGTGAAAGCACCCTAACTAAACTTACTACAAAGTACTCTAACCTGAAGGTTTATCTTATCTTGTCCTGATGTGTGTGAAATAATGTTAAGTATAGTATAAAGTTGTAAAAATTCAATACAAACAATTCAATACAAAGTCATTATTTAAAGTAATCTCATCATTAAAGGAGCAATATGTAATATTTGCATGTCAAGTCATCATTAAATGACCCGAATATTTCAAAAGGCGTTATTAAATCATACTCTTTTCGAATTCATCTTTAACTGATAACAGTAGTTCAGCCGAGATATTTGATTATCAAAATTAGTTTTACGACCCGTAAAAGTTGTTTTTGTTTTGATTTTGATGTCCTACCCTCCGCCGTTTCGCCAATCAGGAAGTGTCATGTAAGTCCGTGATCGGGTTGCCAGAACTCCGCGCGGCTCATTAATCTCAGTGGTAAAATAACATGTGGCGTAGAACTAAAAAAGGTCTTGTTATGACTCTCAAATAATTAATGACAAAACAAAGACTAAAACGAGGATTTATATCGGGATGCCTTTGAACAATTGAGACATCTGATAAAAGTTTACGTGTGATGCAGAATTTTCTAGTTTGACTGCGTTCTTCACGGTGTCTTTGTTCGTGTGAATCGGTGGCCTAGTGGTCTAAGCTGCGCGCTTTCGATGCAGGAACCCGGGTTCGATCCCGGACTATGTCTTTTTGTATTTATTGCATGTTATCACATTCTATGACAGATTGCTCTAAAAACGGTAAAAGATGAAGGTCAAGACGTTTTTTTGCAGATTATAGCTTAATTGTAAAAATAATCATTTAAGACCACATGTACCCCAATTAAAATAATGTTAGTCTCTTTTTGATGTGGGACTTTTACATGTTTGTCTAAAAAATAGGGAATAAATAAAATTGAAAGGTGATATCCTCTTGAGCAAACCCTGATGTTGATACGCTGAAGAAATACGTTCCAACATCCATGCTTCCCACTCCTATTTGGACATCAATTTCTTATTTATTTTGCATAAACTATGTATAATTACATTGCTTTTATTTTGTTTTTGTTTATCTCAAATGTCCAAATTATAATAATAAAAAAACATGAATCAAAACATTCATTCAGCATTAGCACGGCTGTCATGGCATGTGAATGGAGACGGACAAACAACTGATAAAATAATTCCCTGTGTTTGCTGCTGGATTTGGTGTGAATCTGGCAACCTGAGTCAGGGAGAGTGGGAGAGGACTACAAAATATTGACTGTGACTCACTGCAGTACCACTTTTGGCCAGATTTTTACATATTGCTCCTTTAAGTCCTAGACATATTATCTGTGATAATCACAAGCAGAACCAACAGCAGTAGAATTCAGGCCCAGTAACAACACAAATGGCTTTGCTGTGTTTTGCATGGAGCCCTGTAAGGGGGATTTTCATGTGGAAGAGTGTTCAAAGGAAAAGCGCATCTAAACAAGTGCCTCCAGGTCTTTGAGGAGAGCAGTCAGTTTGTGTCTTGGGTCTATTTATACAACAGCCAGCAGGGATAAGTCCGCTGACCCAAGAAAGGAACACAAAAGTTCTTTCCTGTGCGCAGCCTCAGATCCTCAATCTTCTTGTCATTCACAGTGTGAGGCTCAAGGTGGGAGCACAGCTTTCTCCCAATTTGCTACTTGTAAATGGAACCCTCTTCCTAGATGATCATAGCCATTTAGGCACCAAACTAGCAGAATTGCTACAAAAGCACCAAAATACAGGACACTTTCTGTAGAGACTTTGCTTCCCACAGACTTCCCCTACATTTTACTTCCATGTATTTCCGTTATTTATTAATGCAGTCCACCATCTCCTAATCCAAACACAGGGCATGGTCACCTTTTGTCTATTTCACAATACATTTCTCAAAAACCAATGACATCTACAGAGTTAAACGTGCTGTGATTATATTCTTATCCCTTAAAAAAATTTAGGTTTTTATTTTTTACCAAGCACAGTGGGTGGCATGTATTTGAAATGTGCAACACAAACAACTACCGGTAATGATAAAAGTTGCAGCACAAACGGAAAAGACCATGCTATACCTTTTTAGAAATCTTCCATCACTGGGTGCGATTAATTTGTACTCCTCCAAGCTCAGTCGCATCATTTTAGACTTTAAAAATCAATGGTTTTCTTGCCTCTTCAATCCTGGAGTTTACAATGTGATTGTACTAATAAGTCCAGATTTGAGCCCAAACAACTAACCAATCAGAAGGCTTTTGTTGGTAGCTCTCTCATTGCTAACAACATTTGCATACTTGGTTACACATTCCTAATAGCCTCTTCCACATTAAGGCTAAAAGCTATGGGTGACGTCAGCTAGTGTAGATGTAGTACTTCAATATGAATTGCAAAGTTTAAGACTGTAACATATGATTTTATTTGTGAGTATGTATGTATGTGAGTAGTATGAGTCACAAACATAAAAACTGAGGTTTGCCTACATTTTGATATTTCTTTTAGACCTGTGCACCAGTCTAATATGATGAAAGATGGCATTGTGGCCGAAATGCCTTGTTGATTGCAACGCCTTCTTTCAAAAGTTAGATTTTTAAAGTAATTTTAGTTTTTGAGTTACACCTCACACTGAAATAGAGCGAGCGGCGCAATGACAAAATGTCGCACAAACGTGTCCTGATATGCAGCATGACGATTTTGTTGAAAGATTCTATTGGTTCAGAATCCAAACCAATCAAATCATCGAGAGGGACATACAGTACACACACTTCTGGCGCTCTGAGATTTCTGACATTTCCTGGTTATAGTTTGTGGTGCAGGTGTTTTGGGTCGTATATATCATGGGATATTGCGGCACTATGAAAATGAGCTTCTCATCCATAGCGTGTCAACAGGAAGCAGTGTGTTTCAACCAATAACCAATAAGTGTTTGGGGGCGGAACACTGCGGCGAAATCGTCCAAATAAAGGAGAAATCTCAGGGGTCGGCGTCAACGCAGGACTGTGCGAAATCGCTCAATGCATGTCAGGAAAGGCTGATTACGCATTCTAACAACTTTGTATCGCTCGCTCGTGTTGCAGTATGTCAGGATGAGGTATTATTATAACCTTTTAAAGTCCAGATACTATAATTTACAATTTACTGTGAACACACCAATTTCCATATTTTACATTTTGTTTTTGGTTTCTGTCCTGGACCTGTGTTTGTTTTTTTTAAATGGAGAAAAACATGCATAACAAAAAAAGGTTGATTTATTGCCTCTTTAAAATCATGTGCACACCAGCTGTGAAGTTACAATAAAAAACAAAAAAAACAAACTGCAGCTGGTACAATATCAAATGACAAAGTATTCAAAGTTTTGGGTAGTACATTCATGAGTTTCCTTTTCCATGCAGAAGTTCTTACCATTTATAAATATAGGTCAAATATACAAATGTTTTGAATGGTTTATCATCACTATGGTAACAATCCTTATTTTTCATTATGCTGAAACTGATGTATAGGCTTCAGTGAAGAGCAAACATCTAGAAAGATTAGCATTCCAATAGAACTCTACATACCAATAGACTCTGCCCACAACTAATCTATAAACAGGGAAACATTGTTAAGCATATTGAGCTCTGGCATGTGAAAGTCGACATGGACCCAAGCCACAGCATAAGACCACAGAAAAGTCACAACAACCATTTACTATAAAAGAACATCTGCATACAAAACAGATTATGAAAATACAAAGAGTATGATTCCCCAATACAATATACAGATATTAGAAATACACCTTTCATTTATTTGTGTTCTTTCCCAAAATTTCACCAGAAAGTTGTGATGGAAATAAAGCAAAAGGTTCAGACTGAAAGACTAGGTTAATATCTCACTTAAACACACCTGGACCAATCAGCTCAACTGTCACTTCTATACAGTTGTGCCTCTTCAAATAAGTATCTGCCTTCACAGGCATTCCCGTGCTAAGCTTTCAGTGTGCCCGTGTCCTCACCATCAGCACCAAAGTTTCACTTTTCAATCCCTCCTCATACGTCAATATTTCAGTCAGGATCAAAGCCTATCCAGCCAACTCGTGCTAATAACTATAATTTTGTGCCATACTACAAACATAATCATGCAGTAATACATATACTCCATTAGGGCTGGGCGATATGGCAAAAAAGTCAAATCTCGATTTTATTTCCTGCTTTGGACGATATCGATTTTCATTAAAGTCACTCAAGACAGACTTTGCCCTTAAAATATTTTTTATCTTCCCGCTCAATATTTAAGTTTCAAAACAATTTTTTATTTGTTTCCCCCAATACATATTATAAAAGTCTTGTACAGACTGTGCTGATATCGCAAGTATAATTGATGTGCTGCTGGAACTCTCACAATCTCCCTCATTCGATTTAACAATTTTCACGAATTTGATTTTTTCAAAAGCCGATTAATTGCCAAAATTCGATTTATTGCCCATCCCTATACTCCATGTAACCTCACCTGAGTAAGTATCGCTTAAATAACGGCAAATAACAGAAAAAAACCTTTAATTTTTATACACTTGCTCGATGTGCATTTTTCTTCATTCCACAACTGCAAACACAGATTTAGACAGCTGGAAAAACACTTTTAATTGCAAACTCTTGAAGAGAGGTCAGAGGACATCACCTCTGTCCTCTTACCCATTTCAGAGGCCTGAAGATCCAACCTTTAATCTCAGGTTGGAACCAGGACATAAAATATTTTTGACCAGTTAAAAACTGCTACATTTTCCTACACACAAACACTATGAGGAATTGACTATTGCTATATAGATAGATGGATTAAAGACTTAACTGATCCCCTGTATGAGAAATTCAGGTGTCCAATTGTAGCAGAAACATCCATACAATCCATCCATATCCATCCATACAAACAAAACAAAAAGATTATTCTAAAAATAGCAAACTAATATATTGTTGTATCTAGTTTGTGAGGAGCCCTGGAATCCCCAGGTCAACTGTGCATCAGTCAATACTCAAAACCCTCTTGCTGTGAGACATAAGCACAGGCCACCGAGAGCCTCAGGAAAATGCTTATCCCTACATTTCTAAGCAAATCAAAACACAGTGGTTTAGGCATACAATTGACTTATTTCACATATTGTGAAAATTAATGCATTATTGAACAAAAGAATAACAAAACAAAAACTTACAGTTCATCTCGTTGCCGTTGGGACAGCACCATGGTGTTAAGGAGGCACACTGCACTGATCTGAGTTACACAAATGACGACCCGCCCTGTACTCAGATGAGCTGTGGAAGAAATGCAGTTCACTCCAGCGGAAAGGAAGCAGAGCTCCTAAATGCCAGTCACCAGCTGAATCCAGACTGCATCTACGAAGAGAAAAGGGATTTCTTCATATCTCATGATACCATAGGATAGTTTGTGGCATCCAGTCTCGACACATTCACAATAACTGCCCCACAATCTCACGAATGTATTATTTCATAAAGTATAAGGATAAACTCCATTCAGGTTTGTAAATATGCAAGTCTCTGTAATTTAAAGTTACGCACAGTGACATTATCGTGTCACAGCCATAGACTGTAATGTCACAGATGTGGCTTATCAGCTCATTTGAGCAAGATCAATATGCAAATATACGTAAAGATGGGTTTGAACCAACATTGTCAATAGAAAATGCTAATGAAGATTATGTTTAAGATAACTTGAGAGGTTTAACTTAGCATCGTCTTTTGGGAAGTTGGCTTCAAGAACCCAAGTGTTGCTGGTTAGCACTGCATGACTGGTGATACAAAAAAAGACACCATGGCGCCCATGGGCAGATTTCACACACATAACTTGCGTTATGGCCACTCTTAGTTGTTCCGTTAGACCTGAACAACATACCTGCCGCTGATCCTGTGCTAGGGCCTAGCCGCCATTTTGAGACAAAAAGATTCAGAAATTGCAGCAACAACGGTTAATTTCCCTTGAATAACAGTTAACGCCAGTGTCGCTTAAATCTGGGTCCAACACGTCTTGCACTCACCCTCTTGGTTCGAATGCCTGTGTCTTCAGTCCTCTTACGCTGACACGGCCCAACAGGGCGTGAAATATCCGCTCTCAAATATGATCTTGTGATGTGGAGGTGAACGGTCTCAGCACTGCCTCCTGCTTGTTCTCGCGCCGCATCGCCTTCTCTCGTGAGCGCGCACCAGACGCGTTCATGGAAACGTGAGCGCGCACGTCCTTTGTACGCTCGGTTAGTCGATTAGTATTTTTAATTATGACAGACAAACGCTCGAAATGATTAGATTTAAAAAAAAATAAAAAATGCTTGGAGCGCTCCGTTATGGCTAGTTTTAGACACGTTTACCTCGTTTTGTTTATTTACTTGATTAATTTTGAAGATTAAATAAACTTTTTTAATAGATATGTCTTAATGTACTTGTCCAAAACGTATAACTCATAACAGGCTATATTGTCACTATATTGCTTTAATCACACATTGCAGAGGGCAGCAATTTACAGGTTTTCATGAGAAGAACACATTGCATTTTTACAAACCCATTCGTTTTTGGTACATTGAACATTGGAGCAGCCCTTTGTCTTTAAATTGTGCAATGTCTCATCACACAACCGAGTAGCACATACTAGTGCAATACTGCTCAATGAACTAACAATCAGTTTTAATGTTCTCCATGACATAGAAAAATACATTACCCAAAACAGAAACATAAAAAGATAACAGTAAAAACAAATACAATGGAATCAATTACTACTGCTCAAGTTGAGATCTTAATAACTAGTAAGTTCATGATATATTAAACTAGTTACAAGGTCAGCAGGCATTGATTGTTCTTAAACAAAGATACTACAGCTATCCTGCAGATGAACTTTATTTATAAAAATAAACATCTGGATAGTATACTGCTGTATTCTTAACCATTGCATAAACTATACAGCAGCAGAAGCAGCAATAGGCCAAGCTAAATGTTTGACAAAACAGATTTACACACATCAGTTATACAACATGCCACAGTGTGTAGAAAATAGATTACTGTTAATTGCTTTTAGACAATGAAATCTATTTTAATATGCAAATCCATTACAATCAAATACTTGTCTATATTTGTACATATTTTGCTTCTATACAACTTCTATAAAATGGATGTGATGTAAATTAATACATCATTAGCCCCTAAATACCACCTCCAAAACAGCATTACAAGGACATAGGTTTCACACACACCCACACACCCACACCATTGCGCTGCTTGTATTAACAAATGTATAACAAACTGACATTGGGCACCTTTAATCGCTTCCCACCTTTATTGAGATAAACAATCAGCTACAGATGCCCTTGCTATAGTTGGAAATATGTACATTCTTGAAACCTTTGAACAATGCATTGTGGGCTTAAGCAATGTCATTCTTAGTGCACGGAGAAATAACTGAGTTTTAGGACAGGACTATGCTAAATGAGAACAGTGAGGGAACGACTATATGATAAGATTATACCAGATATTCTAAACACTTGATCAACTGTACTGTGCAAATCTGAAGCAGGAAATGTAAGTACATTTAATAAGGCCCTGGCCAAAATTGTCATGCTCATCTTGGTCTTCTGCTTGGCTGCTTTTCCATTCATCTTGAACCAGAAACATCAGAATTATTGGTTAGTATTGATCTGACTTGCCTTTCATAATTGTATAGGAAACACATTTTCAAAAAAGGCACACAATTTGTGTGTGTCACCCTTCAATTATTATATCGGCTTGACTGAAGCCTCAGAGTTTGTGATTTCACAGGCTCAATGACAGTGTTATACATTAGTCAATTGGTATTTTGTCATTGTCGTTTTGTTCCAGTGGGATATCTTCTGTGTCTTCGGCCTTTCCCAGCTCCTGCAGCTGCTGCCGTCTCTGCACCTCTGCCTTCAAGTTCTCCAGATCCTTTTGACTGAAATGGGAAAAACAATGTTTTGACCCACACCTGGTATTTCTTTACACAGGATTATAGACTTTTTTTTTTTTACCTGAGAGGTATAAATATGATGCCGTTGATAATGTTGAGCTGTTCCAACACACTGGCCATGCTGGGGGCAGTAAACTGTAACATAAAAAAATAAACGTTTACATTTTTGATGGAAAAATAAAAAGACAATTATGCACAAAAGGCAATAACCTTTAGAGGCATGATGCTGGCATTAGAGCCATTTTTGTATATTTCGTTCATTGTCCTCTGTAATGCTACAGCTTGTTGTGTAAGGTACTTAAGGTACTCTGAGCTTTCCTTGGTTTTTTCATGTACTTCACCCATCTATTGAAAGAAAAGTGTTCAAAGTTAAAACAAAGTAAAATGGTAAAAAGGGTTTTATGAGGTGAAATATGTCACACCTGGTTCTTGTAGATCGTGTAACCCTCTTTTTCATGTTGAAGAGCACAGCGAAATTCTGCTTTGCTTTCATAGACTCTAGCCACCAAATGATGACTGAGATGGAACACTATGTTAACAGACGATACAAAAGTTTCCAATGAATACCGAAATCTACTTTACAAACCTTAGAGCCACTTTTAGGGATCGGGTTCCATGATATTTTGTGTTGATTGTTAAGGCATTTTCAAGGAAACGCAGTGATAAATCATATTCCATTACTCCATGTAGAACCAGACCAATGTTACTCTATCAACAAAAACATGCACATGGTTAATGACTTTACTAAGATAAACAGGATCAATAATGTATTGGTTCTTCAGTACAAATATTCACACACATCAAGGAGAGCCATCTCTGGGTGGTCCTCTCCAGACACTAACAGCATGAGATAACGAGCGCGGTAAAGCAACTTCAGGGCAGTTGACAGCTGTCCATTCGCAAAGCAATAGAGGGCCAAGTGCATCTAGGAAAACAAAAAATGTCAAAACCTACATTATTCATTGCACTTAAACTAAAAAAAATACTCACATATTCTTGAATGGTGTTTGGGTGCTCAATGCCCAGCACTCTTTCACTCATCAGAACAGCTTTCTGCTGGTTACTAAGAGCCTGAGAATAAATCGTAAAGAAGTGTGAAGAAGTCTCTCATAATCTCAAGCAAAATATATTCACCTCTGCGTGGTCCCCCATGATATAATTAAGGCGCGCCAAGAGACGTAGACAGGCACAAATCTCAACATGCATGGCTCCATAAACATTGTTGAAAAGGTTCAGAGCTTCATTGATGAGCTCACTGCCCTCCTTCAAAAACCCTACATGAAGAGATGAGAACTGAGCATAATCAGAATATAATATAAATATATATAAAGTATAAAAATATAAAAAGACTTGCCTTGCTGTACTTTGGCCTGACCGCTCTGAAAAAAGTGAAAGGCATCTGAGGCTTTAGGGTTGACATGTTTAACAACAGGGAAGATGTTCAAGATGTCTTCTTCTGTAAAAGCTGGCTTGTGACGGCTGTCAAAGTTGTATTCTTTTATCAGGATCTATGGAAAATCAAAACATTTAACCAAAAGCCATTTGGTGTATGCTTTTTTGTTGCTACAAATATCCAGGAAAGGGTACCTGAATTCCAGTTTTTAATGAAATCTCTCTGAGAAGAGTGATCTTCTGAAGACCATATTTCTCCACAACCTGGTCAAGGCTTTCACTGTACAATGAAACTAATTCAGCATCCTTTTATGTACACACACATTTTTCAACAGCAGACAAATGTCTTACCAAACTAGGGTGAAGTGGTAGTAAGATTGTGCCTCTGAAATCATGTTCTTCCAAAGCTCACTGGGAGTCAGACTGGCCCAGGCTGTGTCCCCATTGCCAGAGACTCTGTTACGACGTTTTCGACTCTTGCGACGTGACACCAGTTCATCAGAAGGAAGATGGGCCACCGCATCATGAAAAGAGCTCAAGAAGCAATTTAGGAAATGGCTCACAGCCGCAGAGAGCGCAGACAACTCCACTCCCTACAAATACACATCCATAAAAATAAAAAAAAGATCGGTTCTATTGAGAAACATTATTATAGCATTATTAATTACCTGAAGGTATATCTTGAAGACATGTTTTGCACATCTGGTGATAAGCTCACAGATTCCTATTCTCTAAGAAAACAAAGATGAAGAGTGGTTTCAAAGTATGCAAAAGGAAAAAGACTTCACATTCTTGGGGCTGATTGGGAGCTCACATAGACATGATCCAGTTGTGCTTTGGCAGGCGTTTTGTCAATGAAATCGAGAACAGTGCCCAAATAGCGAACATTAATGCCCCGCTGGTGCAGGGCCTCTGTGAGAGTGGCTCCATCCAAAGGCAGCGCAGTGTGATCCAAACAATCTTTAACCTGAACATAAAACAAAACTTATAAACAAACCTATATTACCAAACGCCCAAATTTCTGAAAATACTGACGAGTGATGGGATCTGACAAGACAGCAGGAAAGCAGCAGTATCTTTTAGAAGCTGCTTTTGTTTTTGGATGTCATCAGCGCTGTCCTCTGGAAACCGCACTCCTGATTTTAAATGAAACATACATTCATTAATATTGAGAAAGAAAATGCTACTATCCACAATTTCAGTACAAGTGCCTTACCTGGAGAGAAAATGTCAGGGTTGAAGCGTATATCAAAAGATGAACTGCTGATGGAGCCAACAGCTTTGCATGCATTCAAGACCAACTCTCTGCTTTTGGAGTCTAATTTAAGATCACAAGGAAGAGATACAATTAAATAAAATGGAAAAAAATGACACCACCAAATAAGACATGAATTTTGATTTAACGGTGTTCACATATTTTTATAAACTTAATAAATGTGGATAAAAATTAAAAGTTTTAAGTGTGTTTGTACACATGTGCAGGGTTACAGATGTACGAGGGGGTGGTCTCATTTTAAATAATTACTTTTCAACATACCAATGCCTGTTCCATCTTCGGTGACCAAGGTTTCTGCAATCTCCTTTGCCTGAGCTAGTGCTGGAATACCATCTTCCAGATCCTTGCCCTCGAGTGGGCTCTCACACGCTCCATTCTGAGTAGCTGTGGTAGTGTCAAGTGGACCTTCATTGGTGGAGTTTGAGATTTTGCCATCGGTTGTGTTTGGCGTGTCGGTAAATGAACTGGAATCAGCGTTCATGGTTTGAGTAGAGTCCAATTTTATTGTGGTGGTCTCTGAGCCTTCAGCAATGGCTGCACAAGCTTTGGTGTCCCGATTTGCCTTTTGCTGCATGAGTTGCAGTGCAGCCATTTTCATAAAAAGAAGATATCTGGGGTAGAAAAACACAATTTGTACTGTATACTCTGATATTGTATTTTTTCTTATTTTAAAAAACAGGTGTATTAGATACACATTGACTACCTGTGTTCAACAAACGCCTCGATTAACTCCTGCCGTAAACAAGCCAAGCGGTGTCTATGAGGGCGGGGGAAGCCTTGGCGCAGACATTCTGCAGGGAGCTCTACTCCTTCCACAGGGAGGAAGTTCAGATCAGGAGGAAAAGTACGGAGTAGGTCAAGAATATAATGGCGGCCATCATTTCCAATAATGCCTTTGCACTCCACAGAGGAGCAAAGTTCCACAGCTTCATCCTTTTCATTTAGTACATTGTGCTTCTGGACCTGAGGGGAAATAAATAATCCCATTATATATATACACACAGAATCTAATTTAAAGATGGAAAATCATACATACATATCAACCAAAGTTTGATTAAATTGTAACATACTTTATGTTAACATGTATTAAAATCTCAGTCCAAACCACTGCTGCGAATATACTTTCATGTCAGAGATGATGTTGTAATGCAACATATTGGCCTGCAATGGCCCATGGTGACGTGAGTGTCTGTACAGAACACACAAGTGGAGTACATTTGCTCATCGGGGGAAGTCTAGATATGAGACACTGATGTCCTTTGTGAGACTTTCCCTTCACTGCCTCATGGGATCTATAAAACTGGTTGTGTCTAAACTGTCAATTATGGGATTCATTGTGTAAAATGTATACATTTTGGTCTTGATTGAGACACCCCCCTCTAAGTCCATATAGTAGCACATACTTAGTTACCTTAAGAGGCCGGCTCGTCTTGTCCAGAAGCTCCAGATATTTGTTGTGTGACACAACAGTCTTTCCGAAATCGATTGATCCATATATGACACTCTGCTCTTGCTCTCGTTCCAGAATGCCTGGGATTATTGACTGTGCGGTAACACGGTATCCTCTATAATCTACAACTACTGTGCCCAGCGTATACAAGCCTTCTACATCCACAGCGCCATAAGCCCGAACCCCATTCAAGTCATTGGTTGGAGCTGCATGAGCAGCAGCATCACCTCCGAGCTCCCGATAATGGTCCCTAACATCAAAACCCAAGCTAAAAAATATGTTGTTCCAGATAAACATCTGCATTCGGGTTTCTTCTCCTGGATTAATAGCCATAACGTTTCCATCAATCACAGCCATGGCACCACGAGTCGCAGCGGCTGCAAAATCACTGTGTACCTAGAATAAATAAGGGGTTTAGGCATGATGGAAATTGTTGATTTAAAAAAGATAAATTGAGGATTAAAACCTTGAAAATAGCACGTTCTCTTAGTAGTCGTTCTGGCAAGTTCTTACGAGGTAGCTCTCTGGTTGTTTGTAGCTCCTCATTCCAGTCTCGGGTCTGTAGAAAACATTCTTCATGAGGATACAAACTTTGCCACAGTTTAATTCTTGAAAATAAATTGTCTACCTGGCCAGGAATGTGTTCTTCATAACCAAGACGAGATGTATAAGCATCCTCTGCTCGGACACAATCCATGGCATGATCAACTTGTGGAGCTGTCCAACTGTAAACCTGAAAAGGAGTGGCGATCCTCTCAAATGGATGTCTCTGGACTCTAGAACACACAATCGCATAAAAAGAAATCTATTTTTTGTTTTTTCAACCGAGTACATTGGAAAAAAAGGAGCCAGTTTACAATCAAACGGTATTTTTTTTTAAACTTTATAGCCCTTAATGAGATTCTCTGCCAGATGTAAAACAACAAATAAGATCTAATTATTATTTTAATTTTTGTCTTTTCACGTTAAGGTTGCTCAATGAGATTTGTTTATTGAAATGCAACATTTTCTTAATCTAGATTCAGACATTTGAGAAACATTAAGTAATGAAATGGTCAGTAAGCAGAATAATTGCTCCACAGAGATGGAGAATGTATATTAACAGCTTGTTGATATAGCCTTCAGTTCCTGTTTGGCACCAGCTTAAACCCCACCATTCCAAGGTTTACAAACTGGAGGGTTACATGCATCACAAAAAAAACCATCAAAAGTTACATATTAGTACAAATCTGGAATTTACCTTTTCTTTTGCAAGGCAGTAAAGTTCTTCTTGAATGCTGGACTTAACTGGCTCAGCAGTTCTACTAAAGAATGGCTCAGAAAGCTTGGATTAGCTGGTTTGGGATTAAATGTATACGAAGTGGACCTGACATCAAATGTAAGAATTAATGATTGTGCTTTTATTGATGTATCAACATACAGAACACTTACTGGTTGAGGTAAAAGCCACGTGTCGAGGCAGTGATGCTAATATGGCGCTCCTCCACAGTCACAATATACAGGTACATAAGGTCACCATGCATCTTCCGGTTCCCCGGAGGGGGATTCCATCCACTCATTGTTAAGACCTTCAGGCATTGCATTGGCTATCAAATAACACAACATTAGAATCAAAAGAAAAAATAACATTCTGCCTGCTATATAGTGAGAATCTTTGGCATGTTTGAGCAAACCAGTGTGCAAATTACAAGGTAAACAAACTAAAGATTGATTTAGCATCTTATGCCCTCATATATGAAGTAGTATCATAGTGGTGAAACACCTTCCAGTCCTTGTTCTGAGGCTGGAGGGGTGCTAAAGGGTGCTCCTTGCTGCCAGGAAGAATATGCTCTGGAGGAGTGCAGTCTATTTGCTCCAGTTCATTCCCCTTTTTCTTCCTTTTACCATTCTCTGTAAATTTATTTTTACAGTTGAATCCATTACATTGAAATGTATTATTACAAATTAACACAGTGCCTTTACCTCCAAGATCGCCATCAGTGAATACACTGAGAAATGATAATGAGTTGCAATCCACACCATTATAAGCATCTGAAGGGTCAAGGCTCTTAAGGAGGTCTCTGATGTGGCGCACATGTATGCGAGCTTCACGAACAGTGTACGGCTCTAAAAAAACAAAACATGAAAGAGTTAATGCTGACTGTGGAGGAAAAGGCAGTTTGGAAAATATTTGTAGTTATACAATTGTTTAAAGATTTATGCTACAACATGGCATCAAAAATGTGTGAGGGGCAGAGGTAGGGCAAATTGAGACCCTGGCTGAATACAATATGAGGCAGTAATAATTTAATTATCCATGTATTCAATGGAGGCAAAGCTTGCGTTACTGATTATTATCATCATTTAATTTCACTTAAATACTCAAGTCGCAAAATGCAGGGACATTATTTGAAGTTTTACTTTGAAATGTTGTCATACCCTCTATATTAGAGTCTCAGACACCCCGCTTTGAAAACCAAAGTTAGAATGATTATTCTGTAAGGAGCAAAAAAAAAAAAAAAAAAGCACACAATCTGACCTTCAACCACTTTGAGGACTGATCCTTCTTGTAGCCCTTCAATTGACTTAAGCTCTGCAAAGTTGTCTAAAACATTTCCATCCAGCTGCAGTGAGAAACATGTGCGATGGCAGGTATCCTCTCTGTCCATTAACACTTGATGAATCTCCTGCACCATTTCCTGCGGTGATACCTTATTGTGAAAGCACCAAAAACAATATTAGTTTTGAAGCACATCAATTTAGGGTGTTAAACAGATTTAGTTTTCTTGGCATTTCCAGATTTCTTGTGAATAAAAATAAGGGGCCTTGATCCAGATTGTCAGCTTCAGGACTGATTCTGGTACAATCTCTCAGTTTTATCCGGGGAGGGGGGATCACTTGACCTATGCCCAAGTAGGTCAAATGGCCACAAATATAAATGCAAATTGAAGCACTGATAAGCTGCATTATTCACAGACAGTCAAGGCATATGTTCATTGATTCATTCAGTACACTGACTGTTATACAAGTTTTATTCATTGAAAATCACCATTGCATTCGTGAATTTACCATACTACTTGAACAGAAGTCTTGACAACTGCGTACAGCTGAAAAATATAAAACGTATATACCTGCAAATCGAAGGGCTCGGTCCCGGGTGCTTGGATTTTGACAGTGAAGCCCGTGTCTTGAATCACAATGACTTCCTGTTCGTTAGAATCTTCACCGGTTCCATTCTGTTGTGCGTCAGAATCCTCAGTTTGTTGAATGCTTTTGCTGCCGTTCATCATAATATCTCCTTTATGTTCTGTAAGAATAAAGAAATTTGGTAAATAATAAAATCTACAACAGGGTCCCCAAACATTTCAGGCCGGGACCCACTAAACAACCAACACCCACTGTGATATTATCAACAGAAACTTCATTATTAATGTTATTGTTGTAACGTGTGAAAGTCTGATTTTGTTTAAGAAAAAATACAATATCTTAGTTTATCTTCAAATCCTGTCAGTTTCATCCAAACTTGATAGTGGTCAAAATGCAAGCCCTCAAGCAGTAGCATCTTTTATAGTTCAACTAGTAATTGTATACCCATTTGTTTTGGCTCCTGCTCTGGTGAAACCAGGAACCTTTTGGTGATGCATCTATAACGCAGACCATCCTACAAAATCTCATTCTCATTTAATTCTTTCCATTTCAAGGTTCTCATCCTTTTCGCATGGTATCGGGCTATTTTCATAGTTGTGAACACAACAAAAAGAGGTTGTTCCTAACCTCTAAATTCCCTATTGTCCACTAAATTGGAATTAGTGGACAATAGGGACAGGTTTCTTGTGTGTGAAAAACGTCCATGGTCATAATGTGTTCCGCAAACAGACAAAATCTTGTGCTTGTGGAAGTAAAACTCTTATTTGAACAGTTATATGTACTTCTGTGAGTGCACATAATTTTTTGGTCAGAGGTAGTAAAACTTATAAAAAAATTACAAACTCATTCTGAAGTAGCTCAATAATAGTAATAAACAAATAACTTCGGTGAGTGTTAGAAACCTCCTGTGCTATAAAGGAAGCATACTGACTCCAAGCTCGTTCCCAACTAACAGCCCTATTCAGAGGCTTCTTATGGCACTCATGACACATTTCCAGTTCTGCCCAAGAGGGCTCTACAATTTCAATCATGTGCTATAACTTTGTAATAAACGAGGTTTAAGGGATGTTATCGCTCTATACAGGTTTTAAGAAGTTAACTGCATAATAGACACGTGAAGTTCATGCCATAGCGAAGTGGACAAAACACATCCCTGTGATCAAGAAGTTTATATTGTTTAAACTTCGCAGGTGCCTAAACATTTAAATTCTTGTTGCACAAGAGGGTCAGAGAATAATTTGCTTTGCGAGAAAATTAAAGCCACAAGTAACTGTTAAGGACCTTGACATGAAGCCACGGCTACAACACTAACCAGCAAGTCGACCCTGGGAGCTGCAAGGGTTCAACAAACAGCCGTAAGGGTGATTCGCATAATGTAAATGCTCACAATTTGTTTAGAGCCTATTCAAAATGATCCAGATTAAATTGAAGTGGGATGACTTGTCAAACCTCCTAAAGTTGTGTAACCTCAACTGAGCTGCCAGCGCAGTTATGTACAGACATCCGCGTCGATCTTAGAGGTCCCCAAGGCTCCACGTACAAATACTCACCAGCAGCACACCAGGCCGGCGGCGTGTGCAGTTTATTCGCGAATTATTTAAGTAACCTTTCTGTTTGCTGTGTGCACAGACTATGGAGCACACCAGCAGCAGCGGCTTTTACTTTTTGTAACATTCCACTTCCGCTTCCAGGTCGAGCGCAAACCATTAGAGAAAAAGCTAAATGTGTGGGGGAAGCATCGTAACAGTAAAGGGAAAAGTCAACATTATCGAGAATATTTAAGCTGCGGGCCTGAGCACATCTAATACAAACACAAGTATGAATAGGTAGAGCTGGCAAGTTGAGAGATGGGAGACACTTTTTAAGGAGAAAGGGTAAAGTGTCACACTGGTCTTCCCCCATCTGTCGGGACAATGAACTGCTCCACTGAAGGTGACCTTCAGTTCACTCCTGTCAGCGCTGCTCTTGAACATGTGTAATATCAACACAACACGTCCACAACAGTTGAATAGTTTACATCTGTTGTCAGCTCTCATGGAGCGTAGCAGTGTCTGCGGGAAACAATTTGCAATGGCATTTTTAAGAGTCATGTGCCAAGTCGTGATCAGTATCGCAAAATCAAACAATTTCTAGTTAGCACAAGGTATGCTAGCATGTTGCCAAGCATGCCAGTTCAATAAATACAGAGAACAAATGCGCAGAACATTGCTAAGACAAACCAGACAAAAGAGCACGACATTTAGCGAGATTCTGAAGCATGTGTTTGCACTGGTTGCAATAGAGTAATCTTGTCTGACAAGCTCTACCAAGGAGACCGAACAGACACACACAATGCTCAACTTCTACTTGGAGCAGCCCAGACACAATTTACACAAGACAACCTCTATAACCGGTCACACTTAGTGATCCGATATGAAGGGACTCATCAGTTAGACTCAGTGGATTATGACAGTCTTACCACAAGCACAGGAGTCCTTTATGGAGGTAGGGCAGATTGCTTTTTCATTCTGGGCTCCATCCCCAACTTCAGTCACCAGATCAAGCGGATTACAGTCAGGCACAGTCGCCGGGATGTCATCGGTCTTGCTAACCATGGTCGACTGTCCGAGAGGCGACCCCCAGCTGTCGTTGGTTGACTGATCAGGCGGTGAGTAAGCTTGGATAGTTATCTTCACACAGTCTTTCTACATGCACGAAAGCACAGGCTTACAAAAACAAGTCTACAGAGAAAGGACAGTGCTGTACATGGTGTGGGCACACGTGGTTTTGCTCTCCTCCTCTTGACCTATTTGCCTTTGCGTTGCAGTCCCCACCCACTGCGCGTGGCACTACGGAAAGCCAGATACATCACTTTCGAGGCTATTTGTAACTTTTTATTACATGGTTATTGTACTTGACTGGCAACTAGAACAAATTAATAATCTATTGTTCGCCATGCATCCGTTACCCTTCCTTTCTAGGGTCTATGGAGAGGTATTATAGTCTATATAAATATTTAGTCACATTTGCATTTACCTTAATAATGTATATGTGTGTTTATTTTCTAGTATTTGTATCGTGTATATTTTAGCATAAATATAGTATTTATAGTCTAAGACTAACATGGATATCAAGTTAAAGACAACACACAAAGCAAGAATTCTAAGGCTTTAAATACAGAAATGTTTTACTCTATTTTTTTTTTTTTTTTTAAAGTGCATGAAACACAGTGTGGCCCAAGTACAACAAATCAAGAACATTTACATTTCTGTTCAGAAAAAAGTTGCATTCTATATATTCAGTATATTTGCAGAAAAAAGGCATGAATGTCCATTCTGCAGCCCATTGATTTAAGTCTTTGGTTCATTTACACTTGCCCCAAGATCGTCAACGATATAGAAATTGTTGCTTTGAAGGCTGTAAACATAGAATTCTTATTGCTTCTGAAAATTAAAAATTGATTCATTGTATATTCTTGAGAGTTATAAATAGCTTATATTCAAACTATCAAGAGATACAGATATTGTTATAAATTGTTCAACTACAAGAAAAAACGCATTTTCAAGAGCCTGTTTCTTTAAAATTGAGAAAATACAGTCAGCACACAAAATCATGCATAATATGGCTTTAAAGAGGCAAACAATTTTTACCCCGGCAGTCTAAACTTGCATAACCATTAGAGTCCATTTGTTACTTCACATCTGTCACATGAATATTATATCAATGTGTTATTAAATAAATAGAAGCTTGAACAATATATTTTGGTGCTAAATAATCGTTTGTACATTTATACTGTCTTTTTATTATTATATATATGTATTTTTTTAAAAAGTATTCATCACTTAACATTTTAAATGATGATAAAGCGTAACTTTTCTAACAATCCCCAGAAAACAAATACAATATCTTGACATCAAAAAATGTCTTTTAAAATTCTGTTAAATTCACTTGATATCATCTTGATATTCACATATAATCCTTAAAACTAAATATTGGTGTGGGAGAAAAGGCCTGCACATATGCTGATCTCCCAATAGTTTATTCTCAGACACCAAGAATGTCTCTGAGCAGCTGTGCAGACATTTTTCTCCACACAGTGTACATTTTCTGGGATATGTGTACCTTATTCCTCTTATAAAATGAAATAGTTAAAATATCCCTGAGCCTATTAGGTTTCAATAGAAATCCTTATTTCAACAGTTACATACAAATTATTCATTATTTATTGAATACTAAAATGAATCACAATATATTAATATTTAATTGATAGCATATCAATTAAAATCTTAAAATAATAACTGTACTGGAAAATAATAGAAATCTGTAAGGCCGTTCAAAAATGTAGAGATTATACATTCAAATAAATAACACTGAAATATTGGCCATAAAACATGCCACAAGCCACTATTTTGGTGAATCTACCCAAGTTTTTTATTTAATCCAAATGAAATATTGATTGGAATTTGTGTGTACTTGGCATACTGGATTTCCCAAACTATTTTATGTTGAGGCATGCACTTTTCTTGAGGCGTAAATACAAACTATAACAATAAATGACCACTAGTGTCAACATGTCATTTTTAAACTGTATGTAAAAAAACAAAATAAACCAAAATGAACATGGTTATTCCAACTGCTCAGTTGCGAACTTTAAGTTCTCGTAAACATTTGGCCTTGTGGTCCAAAAAAGTCGTCCATTTTGTTTCTGTCACAATTGGCTTGTTGGACAAAAGAAACCCTTCACTAGAACCTAAATAAGACTCATCCTTTCAAAGATCAGTGTAGCACCTGACCAGCCAGGCCCAACATTCTGACACACATGGCCTAATGCAGAAGGGTCTTCGATCAGTTAGGTTCCCAGTATTCCTGCACATCCAGAACTTACAGAATCCCTTTGCGCACATTTCCAAGATCCCGGTAGACGCAAACACTTCTCATAAAATCAGATGCTTGTGAATTATGAAAAGGAATTTCAGTGCATGTATAGTTTAGTAGAATGTCTATCTCTCAAACTGCGCTAGAATATAAAAATAAATTAAGAGTAAATAATAACAGTTCAGTAAAACAAACTGCTAATCTGTGTTAGTCTCTGCAGCAGGAGGCACGGCAGCTGAAGATGCAGGCTTCTGGGAAGGTGTAGTCTCCTCCACATAATTTCCCATGAGATTCTCCTTCTCGCGTCCCAATGGAAGTGGTGGCAGTGTACCAGGGTCCCTTTGTCGAGCTCTGTGCCACCGCGGGTTAAGGAAGAGAGCAGGGTCAGGCATTGCTGTAGGCTCGGCTGGCCCCAGGACTTTCTCCATCGGCACACACTCTCTTGTCCACTGGACTCTCTGGGACATTTTTGCGTTCTTCCGCTTGGGCTTGACCACAGGAGATACAGCTTCAGATGGCATCTGTGGTAAAAGAAAGTTCTGACCTGGTTCATAATGAGCACCCTGACTGTGGACACTGAGTTTTTGCCTCTGCCGCAGTCGCTGGTGATGCAGTTTTTGCCTGGCCGCATGCAGTTGGAAGGAGAGATATGCTGCTGCTTCCGCTTGCTTCTGTAGCTCTGTATTAAGAAGAGTGGAAAAGTGGCTACGACGTTTGAGCTCTTCTAAAAAACTGCGCTCCTTTTCTTTGAGGTTAGCTCTGAGAGCCCCTACCAAGGAGCCCTTTAGACCCAGTTCTGTGCGGAGCTCTCCAATATAACAATCCTCCTCATGTAGGCATTTCTCCATGTCACTACAACGCAGCTCTAGGAGCACCTCTTCATCGTGTAAATCTGTAGTAAAAAAAACAAAGTATGTAATTCATGTACTAAGCTGTAGTATGTACAATCAAGGCTCAATCAGAAAGTACATTCGTGGGAACGCAGGTCTTATATAGGTCTTTGTGAAAGGTTGGGTTTACATCAAAAACGTCTATAGCTCTTTGAGAGAATTATCGCCAAGTTTGACAATTGTCCTGGAGTTTATAGGAATACTTTAATAAAGGTGAATTGAACCTGTTGATGTGGAACAATTAACAAATGAATAAGGATCTGAGGCACTAAACTGGTCTTTGCGATGATGATTAGAAGATAATTCTAAAACTTGGACAATATATTTATTAATTCAATATCTCACAAGGGCCATTTTATTCCCACACCATTATATTACAATACTTAAATTGAATAATAGAATCTTTCTTCTAAGTTTTTTTTCCAATTCTTTTGGAAAAGTGGCTCCCCTTTTATGCTGTTACCTACGGTAAACGTAGAACGGGAAGCCGGGGGGGGATGAGGGGATAAAAATTCATAAACAAATTTACGTTTTGCAACTACTTTCACTGCACACTTTGTCACTATGATGATTCATTTTAAACATTGCATTTTGGTTGCTCATCCCCGCGGCATCCTGTTCCACGTTTATCGTAAGTAGCAACAAAAGGGGCAACCCACTTTTAATGTGCAGACCACTTTACCGCGATGGCAAAATGTCGGGTCACTTTACCGCGGTGAAAAACGCCACGGACCCTTCTTGCGTCTCAGCAAGATCGGTGCCAAGACAGAGGCGAGTCTGACCAATGTTTCTTCTCGTCATCCCAGGTCTCATATGGGCTTTGAATTTGTTCAGTTCGGTCTCATATACTTATTTTTTTCTTGTCTTTATATCTCCTCTGATCTTTTAAAAGTACTCGTCGCATCCATGCTTCAGTATGTGCCGTCTTTTGTGTAAAATTTAATTTTGTCTGTAACTGAACACTCTAAATTAACAGATTTAAGCAAGACATAATATTCTGACTAATTGATCATCTTATCTAACATTTCTTTTTTCTTATAATTGTAATTTATAGAGACTATATGTTGTTCTGGAGCTACTGCCGCATTTATGATCATTACAGACAACAGTTACAGACTGACATTGGTCATCCCGCTTCTGGTTTGACATTATTGCATCTGTTGTCTGCAAAACAACTTTGTAAAGGCCACCGAGACTACTGCTATTGTGAATTAGGGTTTTATAAAAACACAATGAATGCAATCGAATGAACAGACATAAATGAAAAGATTAAATGTGTGGAGGCAGATTCCTGCTGTGATACAAAAACTTACCTGATCGAGTTTCTTCTTGGAGCTTCAGCTTTAACTCAGTTGTCAACGCTTGTCAACAAAAAAACATGAACAAAGAGAACAACAGAGTTAAAATGGTGTCATAATGAGGAATCATATATTAATTTCTCATTTAACAGTAATGTATTATATACTGTATATCATATATCCATGTTATACAATCCACAATCCATGATGACATGGTTAATTACAAAGTAGTTACCGGTACATTGACAATTGCTGACCAGAAACTTATTGCATCGACCAGTTGCTCCCATTGCCATCACTTTTGCCCTGTGTTCTCCCTGGTGAGCTTAGTCAGTTTTTTCTTTTTTGTAGTATGTTTTTTAATGTCTGTAAATCACTTTGCTTATACATTTCCTATAGCTACATGTATACACCCTCCATGCCTTTGTGTGAGTACTGCACAACCATGGTGCACAACATTTTCAATGGAGTCGTTTACAGGAAATGATGTCATCTACAGGAAATATGACATCAGAATTCAATAATCATGACTCATTAAACAATAGTTATCCTACATTTTAAGATTGACGGACGGATTTATTATCTGCCCCTACTTTGCATTAAGAAGCTTTAAGAAAATAGCACGGGTGAGCACTTGTGCTTCACAGCAAGAAGAACACACAGACAGGCCTTTCTGTGTGAAGTTTGCATGTTCTGCCAGTGCAGTTTACCCTACCGCTAAAACATGGAGGTGAATAAATGGGTTTGTATAATCCGGAGTAGTTACAGCACTTGTTGTTCATGAATGCATCTCAATTCCATTTAATACAATTAATAAATAGTGCTCGTGGTGCCAGGCTCTTTCTATTCCCACCTGTGCAACGTTTGTGCAAGGACAGAAGCTCCATGCGAAGGCCATGCAACATAGTCAGGTGCTCCTGTCTGAGAAACACTATACTCCTCTCCACACTCTCAATCTGCTGAGGTAAGCCGCTGTCATCTGCCATGGCACTGCCTGGAAATGAAAGGAACCATGGAATCAAAGACTGGACATACGCAGTGATAATTATATTCAAAGAGAACTCCCCTGAAAATACAATATGATTATCAATGTCTTTCATAAGTATACACAACATTTGTCTTTTCAACTTTGACATTAAATAAATAACCCTCTGTAATCCAATGTATAATATGATATTTTAACTTCTATTTGTATAATCCTCAGGAAACTACGCTTGGGAATTCCCAATTCAAAGCCGCTTTCACAATGCTGGAGTTGGGTCTGAGTAGTAGATAACATAATACATCCATGAGTAGATCTCATGGCCAGAAACGCCTACCTCTGTAGTAAGGCGCTGATGGAGGCCACGTGCATCCACCAGTCGGTCCGCGGTCAGAGACGATATTCAGATCCAGTATTCAGATTATTGTACAGTTACAGTACAGTCTTTGAGGTCGACCCACGTGTTACCAACCGCTCCTCAGCTTTGACGCAGTGGTAAACGACAGGGGAGGTGCGCACAAAAAGCACAAGCAGGGACGCATGGCACTGCAGTCATGTGCCCACACCTCCTTCTGTCATTCAGATTTACTATAAAACCCCCGATCCTGGAGACGCCCAGAGGGTTTACCAGGTCTCACAGACTGGAGGGCACGTCTACTGTAGATCCATTGACAGTCAGGGATGAAGAGTAAAAAGATCAAACCACGCGAGAGTTTCGTCTGTGGTGAGAGTCTGCTGATGATTGGTGCAGCAGCTTCCGAACAGCGCTCATTGAAATAGTGATTTTGGGGGAAAGATAGTGGATCAGCAACATTATTATTAGCTGCAAATTCAATCCCCTATAGCCCGTTGTCATGAGGTTGGCACCTGTCACATCAAGGGGAGACATTTTTATGACTTTTCCACTTTGTTTTTGTTTTGTTTTCAAACGTTTCAGTCACTGTGAAGCACTCTTTCTATAAAAGTGTTGCTGTTCTGTATATTCATTGTGAGATCATCCATCATGTTCTGAAAGAAACTTTGTTTCGCTTCTCAGGGTTCTAAAAGTTAACGTGAAGATATTGTTGTTTTAGGTTTAAATCTAAATGCCACCGTGTCCTTTTTCCAGTAACTCATTCATGTGCCTCTACTGTCACCTGCTGGACAACACAACGAGGAGTCATCTCTGCAGTCAGCCCGAGTAGCCCCTGACTGCAGTCCGCAGATCGGGGCGGAGCTCAACGTGGGCGGAGTCAAACGTTGAGCTCCGCCGAGCGGGAGCTAGGCATTGAGGACTGTGCGTATGGGTGAAGAAGCAGAGGAGAAGAAGAGCGAAGTAGCTGGCAGAATGGTACTGTAGGCCAGTTTTTTCATTCTGTTTTAACGTGCAACTTTGCTATATTTGTTACCGACAAGGAAGGAAGTAACATTATTTTTATTTTAAAATAAGTTATACTTGTATGTATCTGCATTCTGCACGGTTGGACTTCTAATCTAGTATACCTAGCATTACTGTTGCAGCGAAAATTATATAAACCTGGACTTAAAAACGACTTTTCTGGGTTTTAGATTCATATTTATCCGGCACGACGTACTGGAAAAATATTATACCTTTGGGGAGAAAATTTTATGTGATCGTTATTACTTTTGGGGGGGAAATATTATACTTTTCGCGGGGAAAATACGTTACTTTTTTAATCGTTGTTACATGTTGAATATAGAATAATGTAAGAATATAAAGCCAATATGCTAATATGTGATTTAAGCATATTTGAAATGGTACCATTCATAAGCATTTGACAATCTGACACTTACATCTGAGTAATCTGCAGGAAATTGATATTGCTCTTCCTTGCATGTTAACATCCATGACATGACATTTGTTTTTGAAATGAAAAATTATTTCATATATTTTGTCTCGTGTGTTTCTAATTGCTGTGCCTTTTATGTCTATTGTTTTCCCCTCTAATATAGAGACACATCAGCATACTGATCAATGGTGAAATATCACTTCCAAAATGCACTGATGAGGGTTGTGAAAGTTTCCACTGTCCATTTTGCAAGTACAAGGGTGTAAAAACAATGGTTGAAACCCATATTGAAGGCCATTCTTCAGTTAAACACAAAGGTACCTGCCTAGCTTACATATTACATAAATTAATTAATTACATTAGTGTTTTTTCACATGTATGAATCTTGTTCCCTTCATTCCTCTCTTACAGAATTTACAATGATCAAGTGTGGGTTGACGTGTAGGAAGGCAACCCATTTTCATTGCTGCTACTGCACAGCAACAGTTGTTAATAGAATGCAGTTTGTTAGGCATTTAGAAATTCATCAAGAGGAGGAGACCCATCCAGAAGCCCCCGCTCAGCATCCAGAGGCCCCCGCTCAGCATCCAGAGGCCCCCGCTCAGCATCCAGAGGCCCCCGCTCAGCATCCAGAGGCCCCCGCGCCTCATCCAGAGGCCCCGGTTCAGCATGCAGAGGCCCCCACACAGCATGCAGCACAAAAGAGAGTCACATGTCCTCATTGCAAGATAAAAATAAACCAAAAAAACTTCAAAACACACTGCTTACTCTTTGCACAGACACATTGCTCACAGCCTGTCTCCTGGCCCCTGGAGGGAGCTTGGCGTGAATGATGTTCAGGTGAGACGTTACTTCATAGTATTTGCTAACATTTACTATTTTCTTGCCATTCTTTTATTAAAAGACCTTGTTCACACCTCAGGGCCTAACAAAGCAAGGGTGCTCCAACAACTGTGGCGTGTTTGTTTTGATGGTAAGACCTATTCAGTATGTTATATCTTTGCTGTTATCTGTAAAATGTTTGCTTGCTACATTAAAAACACATTATATGTATTGGAAAATTGTATCCTGGGGAAATATGCATGACATTAGTACATTAACCAGTACCTCTTGACTTACAGTACACGCTGTACATTGTAATGGGGGCCAATTGTGACTTCAGAGAGGTATGTGAAAATTGTGACACATTACGCTTAGTATAAAACTTATCATTCCTGAACACATATTTGAATCTTCCTTTCTTTTTTCAAAGGAAAACATGCTGCAAATTAGGAGATGGTGGTGTCTTGTCCTCCTACAGAACTTCCCCATGCCGTAAGTGCCCTCATGATCACACTTTTGAATCAGATCCTTTTAAATACTCACGGTCAACAGACCAACATGAATGTTTTCATAGTAAATTAATGTTGTCATTACATCATCAAGGTCTAAGGAAACCAGATTGCAGGAAAGAAAAAGACGGAGAAAGCAAAAAGGAAAACAGGTGAGAGTTGATTAATTTGTCCTGTAGTCAAACTATTGCTTGCAGACTAAAGCATAATCCCCCCCATTTATTTCAGGATCTGGAAGTGGTCCCTCCAAAAAGTATTCGGCTTTCAGAATCTGTCTCTGAAGCATCAGGTATTGTTCAAAACAGTATTATTGTACACAACCCCCAAGGTTGTAGAGATGGGATGTGACGTAGCTGGTTTTGCTGTAATTTCTCAATTTTCATTAAACCAGTATACTTAAAATAAGCTACTGATCTTTTTTAGAACTTGCATTGTTATTATACCTTTAAGAACCATAATCTGTTTCCTTTCTAGCAAAGGCTGAGAGCTTGCCGGAAGTGGGAACTGGGAACGGAGTATGTTACCCGTTGTGAGCTTTTCTTATTTCACTGTTTGCTGCCTTCTTCAACCTCTATTTTAATATTCATTTTCTTAATTTTTCATTAGGAGGATCCTTAACGGCAGCAAGGTGGTGTGGCACAAGATCCTTCAAGGGAAAACTTTACCTTCCCCAGGTCATCACCATGAACAAGGAAGATTCCTTGAGGGCAGTGGAAATGCTGCGCATGTGTGATGGCCTGGATGAAGAGTATAAAGAAGACCTCAGTGAACCGTTAATGTTCATGTTTAGTTTGCAGGCAGACTATGAGGAGTTCTGCAAGGAAATGATGGACAAAAGGCAGCTGCAGGTGTTTTCCGGCTTTGAAATGAGATAATTTTCTGCTCACACATGCTGCATTTCTTTGCATTTTCACTTTGTTTTGGTTCTCCTAGTGTGGTTTTTGGTGATTTTGTTTGTACTTTTTTTATACCTGTGTTCCGGTTATGGCTTTTGTTTGTGTTATAAAATTTAGCTTTTTGAAACATCAAGTCTGCATCCTTGGGTCCACTGTCTCGCTACCCCACCTCAAACCTCGGCATGTTTTAAGAAGTGTCAGTGGCACAATTCAGTCTCTGTTCTCCTTAATGTAGCTGATATAATTGAGTGGATACATTTATATAAGAATTTAAATTTTTTTAAATGCAGGCAGCATGGATAAAAAATAATGGACAGTAAAAAAATAAGGCTTTTGACAAGTTGAAAGTAGAAGCCTGATATTAAATGTTGATTTCACTTCACTGTTCTAGTTCAGTGGGAGCTGAACCTCATTAAAAAGTTGTGTGTAAAGTTGTGAGGGCTCATGGAAATGTAATCATATTACTATTATTTTAGTATCATTTATTTTATGAGACAAGAATGCATATAGAATATTATGTAACCTTACTATTATGTAAGCTGGTATTTACATTTGAGACAAAAAGAAACAGGTTTTACCAAAGATTTACATTTTGACACCAGATGTGATCCTGATATAAATAACAATGAATGGTGTCCCATACAAAAGCTTTTTATATTATTACAAGCTTAGGTGTAACATCAGAATCAGGTGCAATAATAAATAATGGTACCAAAAATAGTTTATAAATATACATAATATACAAAGGAGTAGAAGAATGAAAAGCATATCGGGACCGATAAATATTAATTATTTTTTAAAATCATCAACTTGATGATTTTACCCTTGATCAAGATTAAAATCAGGGTAAAATGAAAAAAAAAAAAAACGCTTCCGTTAAAAAAAAGAAAAAAAAAAAGAAGCTTCCGCGGTGGGCGGAGTCAAACGTTTGACTCCGCCCACGTTGAGCTCCGCCCCGATCTGGTAATGTAACCTTCTGGTGTAACCAGTGGGGGCGGCCATATGGGTGTAACCCCCATTAATATGATAGATCCATGGGTGTAACTCGGATAATAGCAATATTACTATGTATTATAATTAACTGTGAGAAACTCATGTATGATATAGACTCATGCCATGCAAAGTGACATGAAGAACGCCTATGTTTGTTTTAATTTATTCTAATTATTAAATTCAAAATCTCAAAAAATTCGAATCTTACCTGAATTCAATAAAGAAAATGAAAATGTAATAAAGAAAACTGTAATCGTATGTACTTTTGCTGTCTGAGAGTTAATTCCCAGTGTTATAGAGCTGCTGCTTTACTGCCACAATTTTTTTTCTAAGTAGTTCATAAAAATGCTTTTTACTACATACAAGTTGCATCATAATACATAATTTAATTGAAAACTTGAGGTCATTGATTCAGCTGTGTATGAAATATATGCCGTGAAAAGTGCTGAGTAGACGCTCGTTCTCCTCCACTCACAGAACGAGCAGCGAACAGCCTGCGTCCTCTAGCCTCTACAGCGCTGCTTAACACCAGGGCTTCGACTTCAAAATTCGAATATAATTCTAAAATAAAAATAAAAAAAATATATATATATGAAGAGTTTACCACTAGAGGCCGCTAGCGGTTTGGGGGAGATCAGCGAGTGAGTCGAGTGTCCGCAGGATTGAAAGTTTTACCCTCCTAATGCTAACCCTAGCGAGCTGTTCTTGTTTTGTATGTAAGTTATATTTTCTACATTTATTTGTTTCAAGCCACTGCATTTTGTACATGTATTTATAAGCGATAGTGTTAGCTTATGCTACTATGTTTGTTTATTGCAGGGCTTCCTCATCTCTGTCATTAAAATATAAATTGACATAGAGGAGTCTCTTTCTTCATGAGGAAGCCATGGTTATCATTGAGTGCTCAGTTCCTGGCTGCGCCTTCCAGACCCAAGACGTTTCTGAAGCCCTTGCCATTGCTCTTTTGACGAATCATGGACTGGCCCATCAGGTCCCGCCTGTCGTAGCCCAAGCCCCGGTCGGTCATGGCCCGAAGCTTGATCGTCCTAGAGTGGACATCGGCGTATCAATAGAGGAATGGAATGTGTTCACACGCCGCTGGGAGGTTTTCCGTGCTGGTTCGGGCATAAGTGACGCCCAGGCCCCTTTCCAGTTATTCCAGTGTGCTGGGCCTGAACTGGGTGACAGCCTGTTGAAAGCTAATCCCAATGCTGCTTCTGGTTCTACGCCTGACCTCATCGCCGCCATGCGATCGCTCGCAGTCATCCCTGTGGCCACATGTGTTCTGCGCACCGAGCTGCTTCAGTTACACCAGGAGCGCGATGAGACATTCCGGGCATTCACAGCGAGAGTGCGGGGTAAAGCCGAGACATGTGCGTACGCTGCAGCGTGTGTGTGTGGGTTGAATGTGGATTATACTGACCACATAATCCGCGACGTTCTGATTAACGGGATTTTTGACTCTGATATACGCCGTGAGACGCTGGGTATACCTGATGTCCTGTGTAAGCCTGTTAACGATGTAATCGCGTTGGTTGAGAATAAAGAGATGGCCCGTAACGCTCTACCGTCGTCCACTCTGTCCGCAATGTCATCTTTACAGCGCTCGAGGAAGGTCACTCAGGCGAGCGCTGCTCCGTCTCTAGCCCAGCCTGACAGAGCTAAACAGGCATTGTGCCCGGACTGTAAAATCACTTTTAATGTCTTCACCGAGGGGTCTCGTGGGTGGAACACTAAACCTCACCGAGTGTGCGCTGATTGTTACAGGGCCCACCGTCGCAAGCGCCGCCAGGAACCATCTGCTGGTAGTCAACAAGCTGCAATACAATCAGGGCCGATATCCCAGATCTCTTCGGTACAATCAGGGGCCCGCCCTGTCCAACGCCTCAGGTGCCGCCACCGGCGTCGTCCTCCTGCGGTGATCAATGAGCCCCAGGCCATAAAACTTGAGCACCATATTTTCACTAAGGGCGGGTGGAGACGTGCTAAGAAGAGGGACCACCCCAGGGTGCGCATCACCATCTCGATCGACAGAGTGGGGGACACGAGGAATGGCGTTGTGGGCAATGGCTCGGATGGTCCAGCGACGATATCAGCCATTGCAGACACTGGTGCCCAGTCTGACCTGTGGTCTATGCATGAGTTTCTGGCCTGTGGCTTCTCATGTGATGACCTACGTCCCGTCAATCTGAGCCTATCGGCTGCCAATCGCTCTCCCATAACTGTGGAGGGTGCGTTCTTTGCAAGGCTCTCTACGTCACCCAGAAGCGGAGTGGTGAAGTCTTGTCGGTCGATGGTGTACGTGAGCAGCTCGGTCCGTGCAATGTACCTGTCCTATGAGTCACTACTTAACCTCAGCCTGTTGCCCATGGGCTTTCCGTCGGGCTCTGTCAAAGAACCCATCTCTGTCGATGCCGTGGAGTGTGGCCCAGACGGTCGCGGGGACACAAAAATAACCCTGGATGCACAGTGCTCGTGCCCCCAGCGTACTGCGCCCCCGTCGCGCCCCCCTATACTGCCCTTCCCCTGTATGCCAGAGAATAATCAGCGAATGAAGGACTGGCTACTTGAGAGATTTGCGTCATCCACATTTAACACCTGTCCCCATCAGTCATTGCCATGTATGAAGGGGCCTCCCGTCGAGATACACGTGGACCCTGCAGCGACGCCGAAAGCGTGCCACACAGCAGCCACAGTGCCTTTACACTGGCAGCAGAGAGTCCAGGATGACCTCTTGCGGGACGAGGCCCTCGGTGTCATTGAACGTGTGCCTTACGGTGAGCCTGTGACGTGGTGCCATCGCATGGTAGTCACCCGGAAGCATGATGGCTCTCCCCGCAGGACAGTGGACCTCTCGCCTCTTAACAAGTTCTGCCAGCGTGAGACATTCGCTACTGAGTCCCCGTTCAATCTTGCGCGCCGTATCCCCAAGGACACATGGAAAACTGTCACTGATGCCTGGAATGGATACCATAGTGTTCCCCTTCGTGTGTCCGATCGTCATCTGACCACCTTTATCACTCCTTTCGGCCGCTGGCGGTACACCAGAGCACCTCAAGGCTTTCTGTCCTCAGGTGATGGCTACAACCGTCGCTTTGATGCTGTCCTGTCAGACTATGAGCGTAAGGAACGCTGTGTTGACGACACTATTCACTATGACTCTGACCTGGAACAGCACTGGTGGAGAACCATTGACTTTCTCACACACGTTGGTGATTGTGGCATTGTATTGAACCCTGACAAGTTCCAGTTTGCGCAGAGGTGTGTCGATTTTGCTGGTTTCAGAGTCTCGGATGCTACCATTGAGCCGCTACCTAAGTAAAGGGATGCTATCCGTGACTTCCCCTCCCCGGTGTCCACTACAGACATCAGAAGCTGGTTCGGCCTTGTCAACCAGGTGGCCAACTATGCCCAATTGCGTGACACCATGGCACCATTTAAGCCGTTCCTCAGTCCCCGCTGCAGATTCTCGTGGTCTGCTGATCTTGAGGAGGCCTTCCAGAAGTCCAAGCGTGCCATAATTGAGGCTATCCGGAGAGGCGTGGAAATCTATGACACGCAGCGACGCACGTGCCTTCGCCCCGATTGGTCCAGGCGTGGTGTTGGTTACTTCCTGCTCCAACAACATTGCAGCTGCCCTTCTGGGGTTCCGGACTGCTGCCTTGGAGGTTGGAGGATTACCCTCGCGGGTTCGCGTTTCCTATCCTCGGCAGAGCAACGTTACGCGGCTGTTGAGGGGGAGGCCCTGGCCGTGGCTTGGGGCCTTGAGCAGACGCGATACTTTACGCAGGGTAGTGACAATCTGGTTGTGGTCACGGACCACAAACCTCTGGTGAAGATCTTTGGCGACCGTACACTTGACGAAATAACAAATTCTCGCCTGTTTAGACTAAAGCAGCGCACCCTCCCGTGGCGCTTTGAGATTGTGCACCTTCCTGGCAAGAGTAATCATGCCGCCGATGCAGCGTCGAGGCATCCTTCCCCTT